AGATGTGTATAATATGCTTATATAGAATCATATATAGATATATATTCATTTTTATGAACTGCGCAGGGGTATCAAAGAAAATTAAAGATTTCAAGTGAAGAATGATAATGTGTGTATTATTCGTTTATTTCTTTAATTGTGTTTCCCTCAATTCTCTTGGTATAAGTTTTATCCAAACTTGGAAGCAAGCTGCAAGAAAAATAAATAAATTTATTGTATAAAAAGATCGGATTAAATATTGTAATGATTATTGTCTTAACTAAATTATGAAATAGATTTCAGATGGTAACAACATTCAATTCAATTATTCAGATACATTTTGTTGACCATAATATAAATATAGTATATGAAAACGCAACAAAAAGTATAGCATGAAGCACATACTAAATTCCATTGTTTCAATCATAAGATCATGTTTCAATCATGAATATATCTCTGTAAAATATAAATGGAAGAAAGAGAATAGGCCTATGTTAGTAGAAAGATAAAATGTTCTTAATAGAAAGATAGCAAAACGGAATTAAAAAAATACTTTAGGCCTATGATAAACCGATTGACGAACTAATTAAAATAATATATATAGGGCCCAGGCATATTAAATTTTGCGTTTTCGCAACTCCTTCGGCGCTCCATACATTTGTTCGGAATAAAAAAACGGGACCAAAAACCGAAACAAAGCGTGACCGAAATGATCAGCTACCACACCTAGCAATGCATCATATATATTAGTATCTTTTGGATTAAATGTATGTACATAGGCCATATCTTTTTCTATATTTATATTTGTTACTTTTTTTATTATATTTTCAGTGTTTATATATATTTTAGTATCTGAATGGTTACACCGAAAACAGAATTTCTGTATTTTTTTGGATAATATTTGAATCTTGAATAAGCAAACCATTATGGTAAAGCTATCAATTTCAAGTTCCAATAAATTTGGTGTAGTTTACTGACCTTATTCAACATTAAATATGTGCTTTACAGCAGAAAAACTGAAAAAGCAACATGTTTTCCCTATTTCAGAGTTTAACAAACCTAAAATGTGGCAAAGACAAGCCAAACCAGTCACTCGTCGCAAAAATCGATTTTGAGTTACAGGGGTTAAAGAGTAAAATAAGAGCTATAAAATGGTAAAAAAAATCGTTCAAATCTGACATTTCCTTCTGAAGTTACAAGCATTTAAGCGTACAGCTGTTTGAAGAACAATGTATGTGAGAAATCAGCCTTCAAAGTTTATGATTTCAGGCATTTCTCATGCAGAAACTATCATAAAATCATTCAAAAGTGTTGTTTTAACATTGAAATTGGGAAAAATAACAGCACAGCATGTATAGATACATAAACCTTAGTTTAGTGAAATAAAATAGATTTTTAAAAATTTTACATTCTAGCATGTTTTTGCTATTTTCTCTGAAACACAATTTGCGACGAGTGACTGGTTTGGCTTGTCTTTGCCACAAATTTTTATTGGTAACTGGTGATAAATAAGATAATAAATAAGTTAAGAATAGTGTATATTATATGTCACTATGGCTAGAGGTCCAGTAACGGATACATTGTCATTTCGGTCGCAAGATCTTACAGTGAATTTTGACCATTCGCGAAGTGTCGTTGTGTGTCCAAACTAAGTGAGATTTGTCCTAAAACCTCCTGGTGGCCTACATATTTTTTAGTTAAGTGTACATAAGTAATAATTAGTCGGGGGAAAAAATTATATATAAAAAATGTTAACATTTGAAATCACATGTTACTGTATGTTGTATTCTGTGGCATTTAGTCTTCATTCTATTTGAACACTGAAATTGTAAATATATTTTCTTTCTAACAGGTGATGAGATGTTCTCGGATGTGTTGGAGTTTCAAAAACTTCCCGAGGATAGTGTGTTATTTGAATTTAACACGAAAGTATGTACATGTAGTTTTTTTTTTTAATTTCTTAAAAATTTAGCGTTTCAGTAATGTCCCTGTCTACTGGCAAATTTAATTCCTCTTATGGCCATGTATGTGTAGGGAATTTGTATCACCACCGGGGGAAGGGGTTTAGCATCTCCGTTGGTCATATGGAAAGCCACGAGTCAACAGACCAAAAATTGGAAAGTCTAAATTTTTTTTTCATTAAGAAGTTAAGAAGTTAAAAAACATCTGTCTACTTTTATCACTATACTATTTTGCATTCATGAAATATCTGTGATGCCAGTTTTTTTACTCCCTTGGCAAAATATGCAAATTCAAGTACAGTGTTTACCAAAGTGATTGTCTGGATATTCTTAAATTGCGAATTCCGCAAATAGACTCAATGCGCTTTACAACAAAGAACAAGTACAGTCGACCTTCCCATTTACGTACACCTTTGGGCTGAAAGCAGTTCGTAATTGAGAAAATTCGTAAATGAGAAGATCATAAGAATAGTGCCCTTAAGTTTAAAAATGCTAAGTTGTAGGCTATAACTAGGCCTGCCTACCAACATCTAGGCTTAATTTTGCATTTAAGTGTTCAATAAACATTTATAAGAATCTTTGAAGAATCAATTAAATGATAATGCAAGACAAAATAATATATTAAATATCGATTCAGAATAGGCCAAGTAAATCGTTCCATGGATAGACCGACTTAATCTTTCATGTCGCTATATAGATAGGCTGACTGTTCAACATGCAGTGGTGGTTTAGCTGGGCCTAGTAGCAGCTCTCTTCTAGCTTTAGCTAGGCCTCTCTCTCTGTAATTTGTAGTAAATTAGTAAACAAACATTGATATTAATTTGTATTAAAGCACTGTGCTTATTTATTTAATTTAGTCAAGGTATTTTTGTAAAATTTAAAAAAGGAAACTGTTCCTATTTTTTCGACCTTCCTGACTTCTAAACATGTAGTTTGGGTACCTGTAGCGTTGAATGATGTGTAATTGCTGATGTCATCTTCTAAAAATAGAGCAGCTTGCTATATCGTATTTTGACAGTGAAAAACAAATAACACAGATGTTTATTGAATATCCGAACAGTGATTTATTCTTAAGAGGATAAAAGACTGATGTTGACTAGCTGATTCGATTTATAGTGCATTTAGGCTGCAAGTAACCATAAGACAGAGTAGGGTAGGCCCCCCTGGTATAGGCCCTGCCTATATCAAACAGCCAAGGGAAATAAACAAAAATGTTGGCAATATAAGCAATTGAGTGAACAAATATGGTGATAGTGACAGTGGTAGTCTAATTTTACCATGTGCAAATAAGTCCTATAAATGTAAATATAATACTATTTCAATATATATGCATATTTTAAATGGCTCTGGTAAAATTTGCAATATCTCCTCCCATTGAGCGGTGGTCAATTGTACATTTTTTCAGACCAACACAAACATTTGCTTTTATTATCCTTTAAATACTGTAGTTTTCAGTCTCTTCGGTCTTATAGAAAGTGTCCGATAAAACAGATATGAGCCAAGTGAACATTGGAGCTAATGCATCTGCTGAGGAAGCCGCTGAGGAGGTGGAGGATGTCGTAACCAAGGATTTTGAAATAGTAATCAACCACGGTGTCAAGCTGGAGGAAAGCAAACCAGCAAAAGGTGAATTCAAAGCCTACATGAAAAGGCATCTTAAAAAGTAAGTACAACAATTGTGTATGGCTGAAATTGGAATATATATCTGCTTACAATGATAAATATTTCTTGCTTTAAAGAAAGTTTTATGTCGGTTTATTAGTTTAAACATTTTTTATCTTGGCTGATGTAATGCTAGGTTTACATTATGTTGCTGGTGGCCAAGGCAGCCCTGTTTGCCCGAAACGTAGTGCGCAGTGGGATTTTGGCCATTTTTTTTCCTCCTCATTCAAGTGTTGTTAATTCTTGACTGGCGTAATGGGAAATTGGCTGCTGAGTCCCGGAGGCTCAAAGGCGCACTACGGACCCTCCCGGCCTGTCACGGTATAAAAATAAGGCCTCCCAGGTAATAGCAATCATTGTATCTTGAGACTTCGATGAGACAACATCATAAATGCCCAAGATGAAGAAGATTTTGTGTTTACATGTTTGCTGGGTGCAAATTTTTGCCGACCTAATTTTTTCCAAATCTCATGGGCTGTTTCACAAGTACTAGGCCTATATGCAGAATTTTGATTGCTATTTTTGTTGTTGCCGTCAAGACCGGGGTCTTACTACAGCAGTACATGACTTTTTCAACAGCGTTTGCCGTCGGTGCCATCGGATAATTTGATCCCTGCATCTCGAATTGAAGCCGCTCTTTAGTTTGCAAAAGTAGCTTCAAAAAGAAGCAAATGCCCATCCAAAATACACACACAAAAAAAGAAAAGGCCTAGGGCTTGAATTCTAGGTTTTGCGGTATTAAAATTAGCTCTTTTTTGCCAGCTATCTTTAGCTGAACTGCATAAATTTATTTAATCATAGAACTTTGACTACGTTGTTTATGAATACAAATTGAAGTTTAATTTGCAACAAGGACTAGATGAAGTTCTAGTTTAAAGTGCGACTACAGTTTGTTTTAAGAATACAGGTACAAGTCCAGTGAAAGAGCATCTTGTTTGTGTACAGTTAAACTTGCCTAAGTCGAATCCAAAATGCCATTGGAATTTTGTTCGACTTAAATATAAAATTCGACTTACAGATTGTTAATTAAATGGAAAACAACAATTTGGCTTGTAAAATAAGATCGACTTAGAAAATATTCGACTTAGAAAATATTCGACTTAGGCACAGTCGACTTAGGCAAGTTTAATTGTATTTGTTTTGTGAAGGAATTGCCACTTTAAAAGGGATTAAATTCGCTGTTTGACATTATTTTTGACCCTTGTGTCTGAAGTTGAATTTAAAAAGAAGTCCCACCAATAAAATTTGTATATCTTTACAGACTATATGAAGAATTAGTAAAAGAAGTCGGCCAAGAGAAAGCTGATATATTTAAGAAAAATGCAACATCAGCAGCACAACAGATAATAAAGGGTTATGGGGATTATGATCTATACACAGGCGAGACTGCTGACTTTAATAATGAGGAGGAACACTGCGCTGTTCTTTTACTAAACTATAGGGACGATGGCACTACTCCATATTTTACTGGATTTAAAGCAGATTTCGTTGAAGAAAAAGTAGTAAGTATATCACTGATCGTTCTTTGCAGAATTATAGTGCTTTCAGCTGTTTATAGTTATTTCTATATTTTGTTATCATCAAATCAGGGGTAATGATTTTTTTATAAATATTTTAGAACAAATTGCCACATGATATGAACGATTATTTTGAAAAAGTATTACTGATCATAAATATAATACAAGGTTCAACAGTGATTTTAATTTTGCCATCCCTCCATATTTTGCTAATCCTTGTCAATTTAGAATTTGTTTCTAATGGTGCTATTATTTGGAATAAACTTCCTCTTAAATTAACAATGAACAGCTCAAGACATGCTTTCTCTGTTTTATTATTTTTATTACAGTATATTATTTGAATGATGCCATTAAATTTCAGTTTTTGTTAATAAAAAAAAAATATAATTATGACATTGAAGTGTGTTATGATTATGATATTATGATGAGTTTAATGGTGAATGTAAAATATAATGGTTAAATGCTTCAAATTTTTAATTAGGAAGAAATATACATATCTTTAGAGATTTCAAGGCAGCAGAGGGCATAATAAAAATTCCAACAATTTCATTTTATTTTATTCTGCCTTCCTCTAATGATCTTTAAAAAAAAAGTTTTGCAAAATAAGGAATAAAAAAGTCTCGCCTTACTGTGGTCAGTACTGTATTTTAAACTTAAGTAAGACAGGCAGTACTGTAACTCAGAAAACAGAGCTAGACATTTTGACATTTAATGTTTTGATCAATTTGGTATATTATTTCATATAATACTATTATAGTATTATTTTCATTTTTCTCTTTCTTTAGTAAAACTGTTAACCAAGAAGATACCAAATCTGGCAAGAAAAAATTTCAACGAAAACTTGGATGTCATACAATGTACACTTTCTCCAGAAATTAATATAATGATAATCATAATACTAATAAGAGTTTGTTTTGTATAAATAGTTAAAAGAGAAATAATGCTTAAAAAGAACAACGTTTCAACTCTATCATGGAGTCATTTACAAGTTAATGAGGAACACAGAATAGAACTGCACCTTATAAACTATAAACCCAAAAAAGTAGGTGGTCACAGTTGAAAACTACAGTAGCACTCCTACTGATACAAACTTCGACCTTTTAGTTTACAGGTTATGAAATTATAGTTTATAAGCAGTTGTATCCTGTGTCTGCAGCTCATTAATTGAACTTGAAAAGGACAATGTAATGAGTCATTCTTTTAAGTAATAGTAATACTGTTTAATGCATCTCACACTACGCAAGTCAACTGCCCAATTTTGAATGTACCAACAGATGATGGAAAACTGTGTACTGTGAATATTTTACAGAATAATTCAATGTATAGGCCTACATATAATATAATTGATCTGTATTCTCAGTTGTATTTATTTGTGTAGACAAAATTGCCCTTAATGAGTTGAGCTTCCATATTATTTTTGGACCTTGGCAAATTCCATAATTATGACGATTATTATTCTATGACTTCTATATGTATTTAAAGGTGACAGCATCAGATTCTAATAAAAATATTGTGAAATATTTTGAGAGTGTGGTGATTTTTTTTTTTTTTTTTGTTTCATATTAAACAGCAAGTGAAACAATTATTTGAAGTGATCCTCTTAAAACTATTAACCTATTCACAGGAGGCAAAACTTCATGTGCGTACTAAATGTCGGGTGTCTAGAAAACTCGGATCTAGTGAACTCAGAGCCCCATGATCCTGTACAGTAGTGGCACCAGATGGGGAAGGGTCACCCTCTATAAATATAGTTAGAAAAAAAATAATAAATCCTGTAGCCACCCTTGAAATGGGATAAGGGGTAGTGCATCTGAAGGTTAACAGGCAAATTGGTTGAGTTCCAACCCCACCCAATTTTAGGAAATGGGCAACAACATATAAATATTAATTTCGGGCTTCATGTACAGTACATTAAAACAGGAAAAAAAAAAAACTAGAGCGGTTGCCCATAGTGTATACCTCCGACTTGTGAATGGTTACCGAGCAAAACGCTGACCGTGTATGATAGGAGAATCCATTAATTTCATCCCTCTACCTGAATACTGAACAATTAGTCGATTCGATTTCATAGAGATAAACAAATACAATACAAATACAAAGATGACTTTCGATTTCATAGAGATAAACAAATACAATACAAATACAAAGATGACTTTTTTTTTTAAATTGCAAGGAGGGAAGCAAATGAAATGTGAAATTCAATATTTATCAGCTCGTACTACTGTAACAGTACATTTTTAACTAGTTGAAAATAATATTTTTGCTTAGTAAATTTTATTATACAATGTATCAAAGTACTCAAAATGCATTTGTTTATTAAATCAATACACCAATACGAAGTGGGTTTGATAATTGAACCCTAAAATTGTTTACACAATTTTAAATTTTTTATCCTAAAAATTATTATATGTAATCATAGTAATGTATACAATGACTCGTATTTGTCTGGGAGCAGTGATTATGGCCCTAAGCCAAATTATGGGCTTGAGTTTGGGGTTTCACCCTCGATGTACATTTTGCTTATGTCGGGCGTATCTTAGTTTCAGACGTGGAATGGTGAATGATGGGGTGCGATTCACTAGGTTAAGTGGGGGATCAATGTGTGAGGGGAAAAATAAAGGTGGTAGGAGGTGACTTAAAATATACTGTGTGCAAATAAATCTGGATAAACTTAAAAAATCAATAAAAAGTTAAAACAGCTCACTAAAAAAAATACAGTAAACGAAATTATTACTTTCCAACTAACAGGAAAACAAATTTTCACAGATTTAAAAATTTCACCAAAACGCTTAAATTGATTACTAGTAAATTTAAGGGTCTAATGTATGTAATAGAATAAAGGAAATGTATTATTTAACTGACTTAATTAACGGGGGTTTTTCTCATTCATTTAATAGCTTATATAAAAATGAAAATTAAGCAAATCAAATATGGAACACTTTTCAATTCTTTAGCTCATGACTAATTATAATTAAAATAAATACACAGATGCAGGGTTGGTGAAATCCAGAAATTACACCTTAGTTAATATGCAAATTGGGATGGAGATACAACATGTCTTGTCATGGAGGAAATAATTAAACACTGATCGTACAGAGTTGCTTCCTTTTCCAATTGTGTAGAACATACATTTCTAGTTGCTAAATGATGAACTACTATGCGCAGATAAATCATGCATAATAATTATGTAAAAAGAATATGAAGGTAAATTGTAAATGTGTTCGAACATTATAGTTAATATGTAAACAAAGAGAAAACATTTGTTTTATATCAACACATGAAAGGGGAACACAGAGGAGAATCCTTAGTGAACACGCAAGAGACCCGATGATGCGGAAGTGACGGAGGCAGAATCAAGATGCACAATCCTGACCTCAATAGTAGGTTACCACCAGTAGGTTACACTCCCAAGTTTAATATATACCTTGTATAGGTGGATCTGGGGAGGGGGTCAGGGTCCTGAAAATGTTCTAGACCTACCTTTTCAGGACACCTTGAGCGGGTCATGGATAAAAGAATATGTATGCAACTATCAATTGTTTTTGTATGTATACCGGTACACACATAATAGGCCTATTTACTATAATAAGAATTAGAAAAAATTACCTGACCGTTTTCAAGAGGGGAAAACCTTGAATTTTTGAAGAACTTAAAAGTCATTTAAGACACTCCAGAAGACGGGAAAGTCAATTTCCCGCCAGTTAGTAATCAAAATTATCCAGGGGAGAACACGGAACCTGCTTTCTCTCTCTTTGGGGTTCATCGATTCATTAAATCGTTTTCAAAGAGGGGAAAAACCTTAAATTTTGAAGGACTTTACGCAATATTTAACTCCACTCACATAACCTACTGTTTTATTTAAAACTTCCCTCTAAAAATAACGGTATGGTCTAACAATTTAAAATTTGAGTTTTCAGAGATCCGATTTGTTTTCCAGAAACCCCTAAATATCACACGGAATTTCTTCGATATAATATACCTAGTTTCCGTCGCCTTCAAGCGAGCATAAACTTTTTTGAATGCTGGTACCACTTATGAAGGTAACACTTAGGCTTGTTTGCCTAAGAGATGAGTTAGCATATTATAGTAAAAAGAACTTACGTCTATGTCTACATGAACTGGCTAATTCGTTCCTTTGATTAAGAATGCTAATTTCGGGTTGACATATGATATAATATTTTTCATGTATACATAGGTTGCATCGTTTCCTAGAGTTGGAATAGGCCTATAATTTACATTTAGATAATACGCACCATTTAATTTCGTACTATATGTTATCGTCTTTTAGTGTAGCGTTATTCTTATATTTATCATTACGGAATAATTTTAAACGTATTTTCCGTAAGACCAACATATGTTTCAACTTCATTTTCGTCCCTAGTAATTGTGGCTTGGTATACTATGCTGCTGGTTAAACATATCATTCCCCAGGGGGCATTCGATAGGGTTTCGGCAATTGCATAGCTTGCAGTTAGCTTTCTGCCTTGTCATTGCTTAGTATGGCTTTATTATGGGCAGAGGTTATAGATTCTATATTAGGCATGCAGCTATAGCTATAGCTTATCTTAATAGTATTCCTATCCAAAAAAAATTTTTTTTTTAGTACGTGATTCTTTAGCAAGGAACTTTATCTACTTTTGCCTTTCTTTACCCAGGAGTATATGTGTACCTGGTAGAATGTTGTGACATTGAATGTTGTAGTTTCGTGAAGTAGAGAACGACTAGGGATACTCCCCATGGGGCAGAGAAGGTTGCACTTTGTGCTGGTCTGCCGTTGTACGTTATCCAGTGACCAGAGGTTATAACGCTCGCGTACGACTTTCATCATTCAATTTGAAATTGGCGCCTTATAAATGTTTGGGTATTATTATTATAGTTCCTGTGGGTTTGTGTACATTTTTCATACTTACCATGCCCAAATTAAGAAATTTGAAATGCGTGAGTAACTATACCAGTTTGAGTCCTGTATCTGACAGGGTAAGGCGCGTTCTCGGTTCCAGGGGCGGAGCCCCCGTGGGGGCCACCAATAGGATCTATGGGGCGCTGGGAGCTCCGATAATGAGGATTTTTAGGCTGTTTTAAAACGATTTCATGGAGTGTTTGTTGACAAACGGTAAAAAAAATTTGATTCTCGAGCGAGATAACGAAAGCTCTCTGATGACGTACCGTAAGTTACTACATAACCGTTTTTATATTTTCAATAAAACCAATTTCTTCTAATTTTAAATACGTTTTCCCCTGAATTTATGATAATTTGTTAACACGCATAGACTTGTGTTAAATGCGTGACAAATTTATGATCACGCGCTGTGTGTATCTGCAAAATGTCTGTTTCATACAAAATCACTTTGAAATGACCGTCCCGTACGATGCGAGGAGACAGTTGGTTACCTATGATTTTTATACCCCTCAGCGAAAGTGTGACGACGTCATCTTTGGTGACTAATTCAATCTATTATTGAAGTAAATTATACCATATACCTATGGTTAAGTTGTATGTGCAAGATTCCTTCCTCCAGGCTCCAACTGCCCTTTTGGACATGAGAGTACCTCCCTCACACCCCCATATGGATTTTACGTGCTGGATCCCAGTTGACCTACTGTATTTAAAAATATTGGACAAAGGAAGTTCCGAAAATATTGTTAATCTAAATTCGAGAACAGTTTTCGTTTTTTTTTTCTCTCCTTTCCTATAGTGCCTTTCTGTCTTGACATTACGTAAAATGCAGTAATACTTAAGATTACATATTTAATTTTGACTGATGTGGCTTTCCATACTACAAGTACTACAGTAAGCGGGCGGTTGTGTTTTTATTAGAGCGGAATCGTTGTTTTCGTCGGATGCTCATATCTGAGCTATTTTTTACTTCTATGCTTTTTACTTCTAGTCAGTTAAAATGAGTTCTGATGCTGAATTGGACTTGAGTGGAGCTGAACGTGGTATTTGGCTAGTAAAGGTTGGAATTTGCATAATGTTTAATTGAGCCTAGGTTCCCCTGCCGTAGGCTTAGGCTAGAGGCTAGGCCGCTTGAGTAGAGATCCGCAATGTTGGCCTAGGGCCTAGGCAGCCTCTGCCACTGCCAGAGGCCCTCCTCCCAGTCGGGTATTCATTCCTCCTGGGTGTTGGCTATTGTAGTAGGGCCTACGCTAAAGCAGCAACAACATTGGTTTGGGGACTAAGGCTAGTAACTGATGTAAGAATTTCCACATTTCAGTCAGCAAGCATGCCTACAGGGCCTAGCATATAGATAGGCCTACTACTAGACTGAGCTGGTGGGGTATGTAATATACTAATAAACATGGATATTTGTGTTGTTTACTTATATAATGACTAGGGCCTAGGCTAAATACTGTACAATATTTCTTCTATAAATTGTTGAATTTCCGTCTGGCACATGTATAAATTATTTTTTATAATTATTTTATTGTTCATTTTAATTTAGGTACCAAAATACCTCTCCGAGCAATGGGAACAAGTAGGGGAGAGTGGAATTGTGGGCAAACTTCGAATTGGAAAGTAAGATTAACAACTTCTTGAATGAATATTCTTGCAAATTTATATTGCAGCTTGACTTGTATCTCTTTTGAGGCAAAAAAAAAAAATAAATAAAATAAAAAATTGTGCTGCTCAATCTTGATTGACCCAAAATATTAAAGATTGCCTTTTTGGTTTTTACAAAGAGCTTGAAATACAGTACTTTTGTTAGGCTTTTTGGAAGAGTACATGATGAGCCAATTTTATACACCGAATCTATAGTTTGTTTATAGTCCCTATCCGAGAAGAATTAATCCACCACCAAAATCATAAGCGAGCTTGCCACTCAAAGCAATGCCAATTAAATTATGGCTGTAGGTTGTGAGGCTCATTCAACTCCAAATGTGCATTTCCATCCACATAATATCATGATGGATACATCTTTTAATTGAATAATAAACGTTGTGTCTGACATCTTATTATAAAAAAATGTTTTTGTCAACAGGAAGATGGGCAAAGCTGAAGTGTCATTTGCATTGGACTCTGATCTTGCAAAGAAAAAGAAAAATCCAGGTGACCTGGAGGCCCCTGTTGACCACCAGTTTCAATTGTCCAGCACTGGACGACAACTGTTAACTGTTTTTTCTGAAGCAAGTTCAAGTGGTAATGAAAAATACAAGTTATATCAGTCTGTTATATTTCTATGTAGTTAATAACAAATGCAAGCAGGAAGTTTTGCATAGACTTTGATATTGAGAGTGTGAAAGCAGTTGTAGCATTGTTACCGTTGGTCACTGGATCCATATTGACAAATACATAGGCCTATAAACAGCACTTTAACCTCCTTTACTCCCTGTGCAGTTTTAAAGGCCAACTCAGACAGAATCCAACAACGCAGCTTAATGCGATTTCTCGTCAAGGACAACTGTCTTTAGGTCGTTGTGAGATGCAAAATCCCAGACACAGACTTATTCCGTCTGTGCACGTTTAACTCACACAGGCCAAACGCGACAACAAATTGCACCGGGTTGCGTTGTAGATGCTGTCTGAGTTGACCATAATGTGCTGCCAATAAAGGTCAGTTCACACTATCCTCTGGTATGCCATCATCATGCCCATATATGGGAAAGTTTGTCACAAAAAATATGGAGTATTAGACTAAGACTAATAGTATACTTTTAAGTACTGTACTCATTTATATTTCTGGGTGGAGACTTGAGATTAAATGATTAGGTTAAGTACCCTGCTTAAGGGCCTATGTACACAGAGCGTTACAACCTATTATATTCTTTATGGTGATTCACACTGAACACGATGCAACTGTGCCACAGAACGTTGTGTCGCTCAGCATAGAATAATTTTTTTATTTCCAAAAACTGTCGCGCAACAAAAAATATTCTGACCAATCCAGTCATCCTTCACTGAGCATGTACTCTACACTGCAGAATAAGACAAGAATATTGTTTGCTTCACGGCTGTGTTAATGGTTTGCACGTCACGACAGAATGTTTCTGTTGCTGTCGCATACCACGGCCACACTCTGTGTACATAGGACGAAAGAGATAACCACTAACTTTATGGTTGAGCACCTTGTGCGGATTGCTATAAGCGGTCTTTAGACGGTCTTAATGGTTAGCTGGCTATAATCGTGACGTCGCTACTGGTCTATGATTATAGACCATTGCTATACCGTGGTCTAACCAGTTAGCGGTCTTAAATTTTAAAGCCTACTCTGAGGATTCTGAAAACGGTCTTAAATCATTTTCGTCATGACTTTCTACTGATTAATTCAACAGTGCAATGGCAAGACCTAAGCCTAGATCGTCAAAGTTGGAGAATCGAACGACTATTACTCTGCACACTTCTCAGTGTCTGTAAAAATAGGTCTACAGCGTTTATTTACGTTCATTTCGATACATTTGCGTGCGTTACCAGGGAGTGCTTGTTTGTGTTCCAATACTCAAAGCGGTCTTAAGCAACTCTCACACTATCACGACGTATATGCACTACGATAAGTATACGACCGAACCAACCAGTGTGAGAGCTGCTATGAGAATCTTGCTCGTGTAGAAAAGAGGGTCGTCGATGGTCACAGAGTTTTCAACATGTTGAAAAAAATATAGTGGTCGGTACTGGTCGCCAGGTCCTACTTCCGGTCAGATACGACCATAGGTTGGTACGGTCGCATTGTTGGTCGTGATAATGTGAGACAGGCTTTAGAGGAATGACTTTAGTAAGACCGTCTAAGTGATAAAGCCGGCTTTATTCGAGGAGTTACCGTAAGACCACAACAGAAACATTCTGTCGTGACGTGCAAACCATTAACACCTGTCTCTTATACACATCTAGATGTGTATAAGAGACAGTTCCTGCTTACTGTATGAGTTTGACTAAAGCAATAGGAGTGTAACAGGTATTTCAGATGACATTTACAGGAATAAATTAATTCACAACATTTTTTTTTGATAACATTTTATTTAGTATCATGTACTTTGTAGAAATGGTTTGCTGTGCAATTCAATTGTGTCATTGAGCAAAGCACTTTATCTGCATTGCTTCTCTTCCCCCCACCTACCACCCTCCCACAGGAGTATAAGTGGGTACCTGGTAAGGTTAAAATTTATTAAAAACTTATTGTATTGTGTGTAAGGGTAAAAAATGGTATAAGGATCTATTACATGTGAAACATAGACTATTGTTTTCCTAGTGACTTCAACTTTTTATTTTCTAGGTAAAGTTGCAATTGAAGGGAAAGTTGTCGAAAAGGGCGAGTGTAGACCAGTAGTAACGGAAGGCTACATGCGTCTCAAAAAGTAAGTAAAGCCAGAAAAATGAATGCAAGTTGCATGATGTGATGTCATCCTGACCATATTTTGGGTGTGTCGCATGTTTTTGTCAAACAAAATTTGACAGGGCTATTAGATTGATTATATATTCACTCATTTTTGAAAATTAAGAACAAAAATTGTTGATTACAGTATGCCAAAGTGGTTATGTATTCATTGGTATTTTGTCTGTCTCAAATTATTAAAAACTGTTTTTTCTTTTTTTTAACAGACAGCAAATGCAAAATGCATCAAAAACTGGACGAACGATAGTACAGGTTACTAAAGTGGCAAACAAATTCAAGCCAGTTTCAAATCATGCAACTAATGTAAGCTTTATTTAGACATCATTCGGGGTAAGGGAATGGACCCCTGTTGACAAAAGCTGCATTGGTGTATCTTGGTATGTGGGGGCTGATAGGTTGAGTGAAGGTGAAGTGGGGGGGGGGAGGTGGGGGGGGGGTTCAGTGATTAGGTGAAGGGTGCCAGCTCACAAAAGAAGGTGATTTGAGGTTATTTTAACTACTTAAGCATTTTTTTTGGGCCAGATGGGAGGGGTGCAGGTATTTTTTGGGGGGATGCGCACCCCCTCGATACGCCACTGATAAGCTGGAATAATACATCACAGCTTCTTTGGGTTATCCATGGAAGTATTATTCATGTTCATTGAGTTTTATTGACTTTGAATAGTATCAAACCTAAAGGAAAGAGGGATGGTAGATGAACATTGACACATTGTGTAATCAAAGGCTTTTTCTCAAGGAGCTCTATTGGCTCACACTGTTGTTAGATGCTGGTGTTCATTTTCAATGCAAGAATGAGCATTTGTTAATGTTATCAGATAGTGAGCAAAAGTCAGCAGTCAAGCCACCTCGTTTCTAAAGTATATTTTCAGAATATACAACATGGTTTTTGAGAAGCAAAGAAAAATGAAATAAAAACGTAATTCTGTAAAAGAATAACCTTTTTTGCCATTCTTGTACATGCTACTGTTTAATATGTTAAAACTTAGATATATAGAATGAACTGTATAGTGATATTTTTTGTTGTTGTATAGGTTGAATATGAAGCTCGTAAAAAGGAAATAGGCAAAAGATCCAGGGCTGATAAGGATTACGTCCTTGAAAAATTATTTCAAGCATTTGAGAAACATCAGTATTACCAACTTAAGGATTTAGTTAAGCTGACGAATCAACCAGTGGTAAGTAGATATCTGAGCACTTGCAGGAATTCACTAGGTTTAAAAGATGTTATTGAGGACATAAAGTAAAACTGATAATAACCATGGGTTACTATTCTTTTTTTCTATTGTGTTTTTTTAGGGTGGGTTAATATTAGAGTATGAGTTACTGTTAGAGCATGGGTTAATATTAGCGTAGTGGCTTGCTATTACTAAGCCTAATGTATGCACTTGGAAAAAGTAAATTCCCACCCAGCCCAGCTTTTCGTGTTGGCAATTCATAGAAATTAATAACTACAGTATAAGTAAACAAACTTTGGTGATATAATTTTGTTTATAAATGGTGTCTACAAAGAATATCATGAAGAGGCATTGTTGGATATGTCCCAATTGAATTGTCAAGAACTAGAAACATGGTCTCGTGGCTCCTGGTCGTTTTGTAGCTACATGTCGCCGAGGGAAATTGGAAAAATATTGGTCGATGAACTATCAAAAGTTATACTGAAATATCCTTATTTTGAATTGAAATTGGAACAATGCTCTGAATTACCAAAGAGTAAATTCAAGAAAGCATCATTACACGCCTCTTTTAAGAAATAAATTGTGTTAAAACAACAAAAAATGTTTTGTAATGCAGTGGGATTTACTATAGCACATTACACTGAAGTCTCAATGCGCTAAAATAAAATAAGAAAAAAAGAAATTCCAACTAAAGATTCTATGCTAACCAACTAAGGAAAGGAACCGAAATGAAAGGACTATAGCAGAAGAACCGCACATCATCGCACCGTTCTCCCGCAATTTAAGACCATTGTCAAACAATGGTTGACCGGAACATAATTCACAGGTGCTATTCTAACTAATGTTATAAAAAAGAGAAAGAAAAAACTAATAACATAATTATATTGTCTATAATTTTAGTGAGTCTAATATTAACACCATGGGTTATTATTTTAGATTTAATTTTAGGGTGGGTTACTATTAGAAGGGGTGCTAATAGAGTAATGGGATATTATTAGTTTTACGCGGTATGTTATCAAGTGTGTTGAAAGTTATACTGCATACCTTCCAATTGTTTGTTTCTGTGGTTATTTCTTTATTCAATTTCTTTGCCTTAAAATTATAATACAAATAAAATAAAAATCAATTGACACATCAGGCAGAGTGGAACCAGCACAGACACGCAAGTCCATAAATCGCTGGTCCCAAACTGGTACAGTTAAATACAAAGGCAGAAAAATATTTACAGTAGTTTTTTTTTTAAATACAGTGCATTCTCCAGTTTGAGACTCTAATTCCCACACCCCTCTAATTCGAGACCACTTTTTCAATGTGCCAAATTACAATTATCAATCTTTTAACACAAAGCTAACCTCTAAGTAGAGACCGTACTCAGAAACCACTCAAAATTATCAGGTCCCAAAGTGGTCTCAAATTGGAGGGCAAATCATTATATAGGTTGATCATGTCAAGTGGATTACCACTTATAAAGACAGTAATTAAGTTTTTCTATTGGCACTGCTGGTTCCAAAATGTATGCAAGAAAAAAACCTTTAAACTTTGTTTATTGAGAGGCCTCCTGGCACTTACTCTATGATTACAGTATACTGCATGTGGCAAAGACAAGACAAACCAGTCACTCATCGCTAATCGTGTTTCAGAGATGCATGCTGAAATGTCAAAATTTTTAAAATCTATTTCATTGTGCTAAACTAACCTTTATATATCTATACATCATGGTATTTCCCCATTTTCAATTTTAAAACAACAATTTTTTGCAATTTTGTGATGGTTTCTGCCTGAGAAATGCCAGAAATCATAAACTTTGATGGCTGATTTCTCAAATACTGTACTTTAAACAGCTGTATGTTTTAACGCTTGTAACTTATTAGGAAATGTCGGATTTAAATTATTCTTTTACCATTTATAATAGCTCTCATTTTCATCTTTAATATGTATTAATAACTAAAAATCAATTTTTGCGACAAGTGACTGGTCTTTGCCACATATTTGAAGGAGCAATGTAAAATAAATTATTTCTGTTTTTACTTGCAGACATACTTAAAGGAGATCTTAAAGGAAGTTGCAAATTACAATTTAAAAGCTCCGCATAAATGCATGTGGGAACTGAAGCCTGAATACAGACACTACGATAAAAGTGAGAGTTCATGATCTCGAAAAAAAGTCAATGACCTGACATGTAAAGGAGTTGTACAAGGTTGAGCATGAAAACAGCTCTGTTTAATCTGCTCGTGCGCACATCATTTTGTGTGTGAAAGTTGCCTTGTGAGGCTTAACACATACAAAAATTGAGCATGTTGAGTGATGAACTCTGCTCACCATTTCACTTTGTGTGTGAAACTTGAATTGTGTGGCATGATTTTTCGTCCACTGCAATCTAAGGTCAAGATTTAAATGATGCTGTGCTCCGCACAACAGCCATTCAGTGGATGGGCAGCTCAAGATGTGTACATTTGGAATATGGATGAACTAAACATTATAGAATGAACTTGTAAGTGCAAGAACTAGTTTCTGTTAAAAAGCTGCATGGTAAAGTTTTGCAACTACAGTGTTGGCTTCACAATAGTAAGCTAAAGGGATTATCTTTTAATGTTTACCTTATTGATTGAGATGGACATTAGCCCAACTACCCAGTTGCGTGTCTAGGGGTGTGTGGGGGTGTATCCCCCACAAAGAAGCATGCCTCCCCAGTCGCCTCACACTGCCATTGCAGAAAAAAAAAGTGGAGCCGCATCCTCATTACCACATACGGTAATTACATGAGTAAAAGCTGTTTTTAAACAAGGTATAAATAAAATTTTGCTTTAGTTATCCACTAAAATTTAAACAGTACAACAATATATTACATGTACACATTTGTTTTGTAACTTCAAGTACAGTTTATTTTATTGCAAGATAGTTGTCAGGTTGCATTATATTTAACAATCTACTATCTGCACAGTCAACTTTATATGCTATTGAAGAACACACATTTGTGTGTAAATGAATTGTTAGTGTCTAGTATCCAACAGAAACTAGATAATCTTGAAGCTTGCCCACGGTGGAATTACATTGGCCTGGTAAGATCCCTTTAGTATAGACGCCAACAATAATAGCTAGAAAAAGAGAAAGGTATACAGTGAAAGTATAATACATACTCCAAGTATTGAAATACACGCCATCGTGTTATCATCATGATGACATAATTAATGTCGAAATATTGAATCCCAACACGATGGCGTGTATTTCAATACTTGGAGTATGTATTATACTTTCTTATCTGAGATTAATCAGTGGACCTTTCGGTATACAGTGAATTTGTTAGTTTTGTTTATCCAATTCCTAAAAAGGAAAACATGGCACTTTCAAAAGCATGCACACACAAAAAAATATACTGTATATAAACAGAAAGTATAAATTAACTGTTTGTACTCTTTCATCAACGTTGTCATTGCATACGGTACCTTTTGTGTAATAAAGAATATACATTACAAATGTATACATTTTTTAGTTTTCACACAGTCTACTTTTCTTTTGTTTGTGGTGTGAGCGATGGAAGTGTTAACCCCAATGAAGGGCTTTCATATGGATTGGTTGTTAACAGCAATTGGCAATTGATCACAAGTGGAACATTCTGCTAAGCCTGGCCCCATAGATATTGTTGCTGATCCCACAAGTCTTGTTTAGCAAAGCTACCAACTGCAAATATTGATGATTTTGAATAAAAATAAAATTTTATTTTTGGCCAATTAGCGCACCCGCCACCACAAAATAAGTGTAAATAGAATAAAAATAAAAGTTTTTCTTTATTTTATTACGCCCTCCGCTGCCTTCTCCAAAGATAATATATGTATATTTCTTTCTATTTATATAAATTTGAAGCATTTAAACATTCTGTTTTACCTTCACCAATAAAATTTTATTTTTATTTTCTCCTCCATCTGGATGATTTTGGCAAAACTATTTGCTAAATAAGAAAATTTCATTTTTATTTTTAATCCGCCCTCCTCCGATAATCGTTAAACAAAATAAGTATGCGAAACAAGGAATAAAACAAGTCTTGCCCAAACAACAATGTAAATGTGTGTACACGCGTGTAAATTTCACTTTTAATTCAACAAATATGATTTATCTAGACACACATATTAATTAAGAATTCTACCTATAATACAAATAGAACCCATTTCTGCATTTGCCAAAAACCCTTCCCAAAATACACTTATATTCATAAAACATCAAACCACAACCATCTATTTTCAAAAGCATTATTAAAACAGAATCACACCGTTACAACCGCCTCTCATGCAACAATGAAATTTCTGGCATTACAAATTTATTCTGAGAGAGACTCAAGAAAATTGGCTACAGTACTAAATTTATCAATAAGCACTTGCTTCAGTATTATTAAAAGGGTATAATTTAAAAAAATAATAATAATAATCATACCAAGCCACAATTATTCTTTAAAATTAAATTCGTTAAAACTTCTAATAAACTTAACATAAAGAAATAATTAACGATCATAATCATCTAATCAACAATACCTGTACGTATAATATTAAATACATTAATTATAATGATAGCTTAAACGAATCTTTTGTACTAGTTAGAAATTACATTTAAAATTAATTCCATAAATCATAATGAGTCATTTTAATCATTATTGTACTATGTTAATTTTATTTTGAATTAAAGAGAATTTAATGTTAAACAATTTGTTTCCGTAATATTTGTTGTTACAATGCGTTTTTCTACATAGATTAGATTAATAAAAAAAATGGGGATAGTAATCCTTATATACTCATTAATAAGAATAACATTTTTAGTCTTCTAATCAATTTTGTATAGCTGGAGTTAGTTTCGACCTAGGCAGACCTTGCTAAAAAGGTACACTTTTTTCATCAAAATAATAATAACAATAATAATAATAATAATAAGTAAGATTTGTATAATGCTCGTATTCATTTTAAAGAAATGCACAAGGCGCTGAGAAAATAAACAGCGGAAAGAAAAATTGGAAAACAAAATCAATTAAACTAAGCAGTAAATGTCCTAAATACTATAGCTTACCAGAAAAGCAGACAAACCAGTATTGCCCTCCGTTTACTAGCACTTTTCAAAGTTTTAAACTTTAAAAAGCCCCGGTAAGGGTTCGCTGGTTCATGACTCACAGAAGTTCAAATAATGCTAGTATCTATCTAGCCACTTGTGGCCTGACTGATTTTTTTGCAGCCAGTGAAAATGAATAAAACCCCTATGTGTGTGGCCTGCCGAACCATCTTTGGCTTAAAAACACCTTGTTATTTTTTTATAGCCCGACACCGATTATTTGTATAGCTGAGCTTAAAGTGTTAGAACAGTAGGTTTTTTGGAAGCACACTGGAAACATAAAGTTTAGGTGCGGCCCTTGGTGTTAATTCAAAAATTCACTTAGGCCCTCCGACTCATTTTTTTGTCCACCTTTGATCCATACTATCTTAAATCCGTCAACTTTATTTATTCAAACAAGCGTTCTATTAAAAATAAAAAATTAAAAAAAAGAAACAAATATATAAAAATAATAACAATTAATTAATTAATAATTTTATACAAATTGCTGCTGTTGTGGACAATGTATACCAGCATTCTGTAAAGAGTATCATTTTTTATTGGTGCTATACAAAAATAAATTATTATTATTATTATTATTATTATTATTATTTATTATTATATAAAAAAAAATAAACAAAAAACTTTGGATTTAAGAAAAAATCAGAAAATTTCAAATGAAGAAATAGGTCATGAGTGCGTTTTCTGAAAGTTGCTATTACTGTATATACTTTTAATGGAGTAAAAGGAAATTAGTACTTGTTCAGCTACACAAAATGGTTGATCGTCCAATGATTTAAAAAGAAAGAAACGTGGCGAGCAATTTCATATCTATGATGTCATGCATTATGTGATTGATTTTGTCTTTGCCTACCAAATGGCTTGAGTCAAATTTAGTTATAAGATCTTGTAGTATTTATTTTTTATTACGATCATTCGTGGTTTGGATGAAAATAAATATGTACTGTACTTCAACATTATTCAGAGCGACTGGTGAACACTGAATTTTTTTCTGTATCATTATAATTTCTGTCTAATCGATAATGAATAATTTTTATCACACCTGATATGTATTTATTGAACATAAATTCTAATTGTTATTGCAGTCTGTTGCCTGGTATTTCTTACTTTGCTTTGTCTTTGCCACGCAGCAGCCTTCATCTCCGCCTTTCTTGGCGTAGATCATTTGTCCGTCTGACCTTAAGAAAGTGTACTTTTGTCCAGCTAGTTTTACTCCCGTTGAATGCAGACCCGAGGGGTTGGCGAAGCCTTGGACCAGACCTTTGACTTCCTCACTTGTAACCTTAAATAAATAACAAACTTACAAAAGAGTAATTTAAGAATGAAAGTTGGGATACTGTACTGTCTATAATAATCTGTGAAACTCTCTCAATCGAGTGTTGCTTATCTGAGTTGCTTCGACATCAGTGTTCTTAATGTGTTCTTATAAAAAAAAAGTGTAATTTAAAAGTAACAAATTAATATGCAATCAACTTCCAATGAATTGGTTGTTACATATTAGGCCTACATTAAAACTGCTAGCAAACTGAATTTTAAGTCGTTATTGAAGTGAGCCTACCTATGGGAAATCAGTGGGATTAATTGTCTTTTGATGGATTTTCTTTTGTAGGCCTAGTTGCTGAAATGGCGTTCAGTTTCTTCTATATGAATATGATTACCAATAATAATAATAATAATGGCATTTTTTTCAACAAAATATATACTCGGCTTTAAAAAGGTAGAATTTGTGTCTTTTGTGTAGGGTGTATTCAATTGTTTGTAGACCGCATAAACATTTCACTTAGGACTCCACTATGTTTCATAGACCTACCTTAAATTTCTTTGATGCTGCCCAAGTGCTTCCGTCTAAGCCGAAAATCGCTCCTTTTCGAACATTACGTGTTCCTACTAGTTGTTTATCAACGTATTTTTTCCAACTCATTTTTTAGGATATGCGAGTTACTTTAGAGCACACCACTGTGTTAAGCTTATACTTGCTGTTTCTTTTGTGTATGTACCGTAACCCATAGAAATGAATGTTTATACGTGCGTTCATATCTTAGCAACGCATTGTGCGCACATCACGCGAAAGCGCTCCATAAAATGACAATGGTATGGAATATCAAGTTTTCGTTAACATTAATGTTGTCTGTTTAGGCTAATTTGAATCTACGGTACTTCAAATTCTACATTATTCAGCGAAAAGGGTGCCGATCCATATGGGTAAAATTGAAATGTGTTTATATTAATTATACTATTCCGGTATTTCCGCAGTAGATGTGTCTCCCAAAGCACGCACAACGTGTTTTCGCGCAGACACCACTGATGTTGATCTTGATAGTATGATTGATAGGCTAGACTCCGGGTGGAGTCACTCAGTGGTCATGATTTACTTGCTTTCCTGGATGGCAGTAACTTCTGTAATCCTGGGTAAAGAAGCCAAGCATACAATACTTATAGGGCGCTCAATGTGTAATCTGCACTATTTTTATACGGCGCAAAATTTTAACGGGTGGTCAGCCCAACGCTTTTCAATCACAGGTTTAAACATATTTAAGGATGTAGCATTTACACCTTCATCTAACAATGAGTCCCCCCCACCCCAACCACCGTTGGACATTGTTTATCCAAATAACGTTATTTTTATTGACAATCCCTAATATTGTAGTTCTAAAAGCACATTTTTGGTCCGAGTCCTACTAGTCCACAAAAACTATCCCCGTGAACCCTAAAAATGTTTTTTTTTTAATGATTCCTTTACACGGACCAAGGTTTTAGTTGTCCTCTTGATTCGGACCCCGTCGGATATATTGGATCCCCTGTCGGCAAATTTGGGAGCCAACGCTGGTAGGGTGGGTGGGACAGCTACGCAGTGAAAAAAATTGTAATGACAGTGTAACGATTTTATGGAAACCTAGATTTAGTCATTAATAGGCCTAGGTTGTTTTATGAGACAGTTTGTTGGACACGTAAATACGGATTATATCCGGCTTACCTACATACATGGGAGCCATGAGTGTCATTTTAATGTGCTATGCGCTTGCTTTCAAAAATATAAATTCTGCGATTTTTGATCACTGAGGATATATTCCAATTGGATTCCCACACTTTGATGTTTTCTGTTTCTCTTATCATGATTATCTTTGACGTTAATATTTCCCCATTATAAAATTATGGGTGCCCAAGAAGTTTGATCCAGTGCCTACTTCCGAGTCATTTTCTAAAAGTAGATCCAAGCTTACAAAATTTCGTATCTTTGTATACGTTCCACAATCTAATATTCAGCAGCGTAGAGATGGGCAGTGCGCGCCATTTCAAAGTCACGCGGCGGGCCAAGGCTATTAGGGCCCTATTCATAAATAGGCCTAAAAATGATAATTAAAAACAATTTCCAACTTAATATTTTTAAAGTAAAACTTTAAAAAAAGCACCTCAATAATATTTAGGTTTTTAGAGTAGAAATTATTGATATTATTTTACGTGCCACCAATTTTATTTTTTTAGTTTAGAACTACGGTAGCTGTTGAGACCGCATAGACCTCTCTTAAATCAGTGACGAAAGTTCCGATTTATCATTGGCCATTGGGGTAAAAACGTAAGATATCTTCGTACAATGAATTTTCTGAAAACGTGAATCAGTGTACCTGCAGCATGGAAGCTGGTATAAGATGTATAGTGTGAACTTGTATTAAACTGTTAAAATACATTAGAGACATAATGAGTTAAACAAGCTATCGATTTTTAACAATGAGCTAGCAAATATCGTCGCTCACATCACGAACTAACACAATTAAATTCAATTGTGTTAGTTCGTGAAATCCCAGTAGCGCGTCAAAACGAGCGCGTATTGGTTGTCAAGCAATTTTGTATTCTTTACCACACAAAAAGTCCTTAACGACAGCAGCGCGTATTTTGACGCGCTTTTTTGATTTCACGAACTAACACAATTGAATTTAATTGTGTTAGTTCGTGATGTGAGGGACGATATTATGCTCCGTTCACAGCAACGGTATAAATAAAACACAAATGGATTGTTTATTCTTCACAGACGATGTTTTGAACTAGAATTTCAATTTCCGGGAGGCAATTCAAAATTGCCAACGTCTAAAATTTGTCGAAAGTTTAACTTGGTAAAAATAACATACAAACCACGAACATAAAGATGAAACTAATGGATATTTCCTGAAGACATACAAAGAGGGCAGTGAAAACAAGAAGTGAAATTTTAGCATAATGTGAATGATGAACCTTAACTGTAATCGATTCTTTTAAATTATAACGAAATTTCTGAATGTTTTAAAGATATTTTAATGAATGTATCGTAATTTTGTAATATTAAATATTTCTCTTTTATTGTCTTGTACAGTACTTTGAGATTTCATAGTCTACTATTTTAATGTATTTTTACTATATAGTAATATAATATACATTAAAATATTTTAATGTATATTTTAATGTGAAGTGTGCACCTTCTGGTCTCTTTCACTGTATAATAATAATTCTTTATTTTTGTCCTCATATATGTATGCCTCTACACACGGGGAAATTCGGGCTGGGTCCCCGGGGACCCGCGGCTGCCATAGCTCGGCGCCAACTACCCACTCTACAACATCAAACGGATACATACTGATATACATACATGGCCCGGGATTTATCAATCTCAGCTTAGCATGTCTTAAGTCAAAAAAGTTAAAATGTCCACCTTAAGCTAATTTATTACCCAATCTTAGAAAAATCTTGGCTTAAAAATCGTTTTTAGATGGTGCCAACGTACAATCGACTTTCTAATTTTAAGCAATTTTAAGCTAAGCAATATGGATAATTTTGACTTAAGCGAAAAATGGACTTAAGAAGAATTTAAGCTTCTTTCTAGTTAGATAAACGTGGACCCTGGTCCTTAACTCGCCTAACTCTCCTGAGAGGGTTATTCAGGAGCTGAGCGTTTTTGTTATTATAAAAGACCCGAATTCAATACTCGATGCAGAGCCGGGTATTGAACCCAGGCGTGCAAGAGGCAGGAACCATATCAATTAACCAAACGCTCAGTATGTTACTGTATTTCAATGATGCATTTTTTATGGTAGGCCTATTTAGTGTATTTGTTTTTGAATGCACCACAGTTATCGCGAGTGCCGCTGATACAAATGTGTGTAATCAAAAGATTATTATTTTGCCTAGTAGTACTACAAGTCCTAGAATTTTCATTCTTTAAATTCGAAATACGGCTCATGAAAATTTAAGACGTCGGAGCTTTCGGGGAATCCTCTACCCGGATCCCACCGTGGGAAATTCACGGCTCCCAGTAATCTCCCTCTCCCAACACCATTCCCCACTATCCATAACTCAGACCTATGGCCCCGGTTGGCACTTCACATCACCGGGGCCCGGCAATTAATATTGCACTACTGGGGCCCGTTCTCACCTAGTTACGGCGCTGCTAATAATTATTTCCCCTAGAAATCATAATGGTACTGTCCCTGATCACTGAAGCAATATCATGAGACCGTAATTTTAATTCAGTACTTCTTTTAATCTGCTGCGATGCGGTCGTTAGTCCAGTTGCTGTGCTACATCTTGCTCCTCACGTTTTGTTTAGTATGTTTTTACGAATTTATTCTTCGTCGTAGCAGCTTTCATGTACTCTCTGAGAATAAAATGTAAGTACAATATTTTCATTTCAAATAGGAAAATAAAAGGAAGCTGAATGTGCTGTAATCCTGACAATTGATTATATTTTGCGACTAATTTGTTTCTATTAAACTTTCCACTGTCACTAAACAACCTGCAGTTAATATTCTTACTCCTTTCTGTCTGTTTTGTAAGACACCTCATGCAATTCCATCCAATGATAGTATATCACCAAATTGAAAAAGTTCCATACTTTGAAGATGGTCGAGAATACATTTGTTTTTAAAAAAAGGGAATCTTAATTCTTACATTTTTACCAGTAATCTATTGTATTTGGGCATTGAAATGGTATTACGACCCCCATAACCCATTTGGCTTATTTTTTGCACACCCCATAACCCCACCCTCCAATGGCAATTGGATACGGCCCGTTATTTATTTTCAGTCCGCCTACTCGGTTTCAATTAATAATAATAATAATAACTGCCTAGTTGGATAGTAAAAATAATAGTAGACCTAGTAATAATAATTACCGTATAGTAATAATAACAATAATACTCACAGTGATAATGATAATAATAATATTGATAATAATAACTATTAATAATAATAATGACAACATTAAACAATGATATCATCATTAATGAATGAATAATGATGCATTCATAATAATGATGAATTAATAATAATAATAATAATAATAATAATAATAATAATATCATTAATGGTAATAATAAAGCATTTGTAATGCGCCATCGATCTATGCATACCTCCTTTGTAGGCCTACAAAAAAAGATTCGAAATTCGTTTAAACTGAATTAAAAAATAGACCTACTTCCCAGTGTTGTATTTTTTATAGCCCTACCTGTCTAGGATTGCATTTTCTTTTAGTGACCAAAAGTTTTGGCCAACGAGGTAATGTACTTTTAATTAAAAAGTACGGTTAAACCCAAACAAACTGGCATAATGTTTGAATTGGCTAAGACTGTAGGCCTATTATCGATCATATTCCACTTCTAATTACATTTTGGTTTCAGATTGAACAGGGCTGATCCCAGAATCGATGACTTCGTCTCACCTGATCCCAGAATCGATGCCTTCGTCTCACAATCTCACCAAATAGGCCTACAATGCGGGACAGAGAACCGGGCAAAGGACAGAATTGTATTTATAAAAACCCACAAAACTGCCAGTACAACATTAGCTTCGATATTTGAGAGATATGGCTATTCACGCAATCTTACATTCGGGGTTGGAGTCGGAACTCACGTCATATCTAGCTACAAACTCTTCAAACGTCACATGATCCACCAAAGTAATTCACGTCATCAGTACCATTTTTTGACGAATCACGTGCGGTATAACCGAAAAGAGATGGAAGCCGTTTTCCCAAATGCTACATATGTGACAATTCTCCGAAACCCTGTGTCACAGTTCGAATCTGCATTTGGTTACTTTAATTTTGCAAATAGTGCTCACATTACAAATAGCGAAGATCCAATAGGCACTTTTTTCACTGACCCTGACAAATTCTACAACACCACTGGTTTCTTTTTTAAAAACCAAGCTAAAAACGGCCAGATATTTGATCTAGGCTTAGACACATCCCTGCAAAATGACAGAAGTGCATTTAACGACGTATTTAAATCGTTAAAACAAGAGCTTGACTTTGTTTTAATATCAGAATATTTTAATCATTCGCTGGTGTTGATGAAACAAAAATTATGCTGGCAGACGGATGATATTTTGTACATTTCTAAAGGGATTCGAAATTCTCATATTCGTTACCAACTTAAACTAGAAACAAAAGAGCGAATAAAGGCATGGAACGCCCTGGATATGCAACTTTATAATTATTATAACGAAACACTCTGGAGGAAGATTTCGGAGTATGGATCAATGTTTTGGGATGATCTGAAAGAATTCGAGAATCGGCTTGAAGAGATTCAAAGTGAATGCATAGATACATCTAAACGTGACGTCAGCGATTACCGTGAAGACAACATTGTAGTTAAAGATGATGCAGGAGAATTTTGCAAAGCTCTTGCTTTGAATGATGTAGAATACTCAAGATTGATACGCAAAAGGCAAGGACTTGATAACTAGACGAACAACTATAATTATCATGGTAACCTTTCAACAGGAATCCGATGATCGTAAAACTCGCCGACACTCTTGTGAGAAGAAACTAGGCCTATAATTTAAAGCAACGAAAAGATGCCATTTAGAAAGGTCATGGTATAATTTAGAAACCAAAATAAATAAATAAAACTAGCGATTCTTAAGGAAAACCAGGCTTTAGCTTGACATTTGCCGTATACATTCCTGTCTTAGTTAACTTAAACAGGAGCCCGGTTTAGTACATTTTTTGATAAAGCAAAAAAGACATCAGCCAAGTTGCGATGTTGCACTAGCGTGGCAGTCCCCGGCGCAACCGGGAAAGCTCCCCGAAACGACCAACCAACGAAAGCTGTCGGCTATGCAAGTAGCGATTTTGTGGAACAAGCTACATGCATCGGGGTTCGGTTGTTGGCATCCTTTTGTCGACACTTTGGTTTGTTACGACCAAATTTGTTTTGAGGCGATGGACTTAAAATTTCTTCCTGAACTAAACACTGGATCGCGACCCATGGTTGCGGTACAGAGGTTTAGAGAATATACCGGGTGTTGTGTTGAGTTTTTCCTTGAGCAATGAGACTTGGCGTACGTACGCTTTAACCTCAAGGAAAAGGCGCATTATAAATGGCTGTACCAGTATCTGTACCCAGTATCATACAAGTAAAAATAAAACTGAGTTAATGTCCGCCAAATATGACAGCATACGCAAGAAAAATACAAAATGAACAGGTATCCTATCCCCGAAAACAATGTAATATTTGAGATTTTGTCATAGTTATCATCAGCACACGTTGTATAGCCACAGCTGATTATGCGTTTCATACAACTGTTGCGTGTCACCCGGTTTCCATTGTGTCACGATCATTAACAACATATGGTGTGGGTTGATAATGATATTGATTTTCACTTATGCAATTAGCCTTTACCTGCATTGCATAATTGCATTAATTCTAAGTTTAGACAGTAAAGAAGTAACACACGTAATGATTATTGTGATAATTGGACCAAAGCTTAATGCCAATTTAGCTCTAGCGGAAGAGGAATTAATAGGACTAGTGTAAAACTGATTTTTTTTAAGACACTGAAGGAGCATCTGAAGAAAAAGTCGGAAACGGTTAATAGCATATTCTTTTTGAATACTCTACTTAAAAGTGGGGGACCCTCACTCTGAAGGCCAAAACTAGGCAAGCGAAAGCTTTTTTACTTTTTATTTTTCGGTTTTTCTGTCTTTTCTGCGGCCTACTTATGATTTGATTTATGACAATAAAAAGTAACATACTGTACTTATTAAAAGTAGAGCTATACTACCAGCGTAGGGAGTTCGTCGACAACGTTTGAGAGTTGGGTAAATTGGAATTGGTCTCAGGTCCGATTCAATGGCAAGCAGGCTTGATGGTTCTCTGACCTACATTTCAGAAATCGTTCCTTCACCTTTCATTTTGAGTATTCTGGTGTCTACGACATTGGAACCAGCCATAACAGGGGTCTTGGGTCGGAGGCAGGTGGTGTCAAAGGCAATAATTTTCCCGGTTAATAATTCATAATACCCCCACCCCCATACAAAACAATACGACATAGGGCTTACCTTATTTATAATATAAGCCACACACATGTGTTTGAAACTAAATATAAGCATTTTCATCATGGTTTTATTTATCACAAACATATTCTTCTTCTTCGATCAATACACATTGAGGCCCTTCTCTTAGGTTAACATTTTAAAATGTTCTTTCTATTTGAGTTGGTACTATCATGTGTTCAATTAACTTAGAAGGCAAAGGGGGTCAATCACAAGTTCTCGCCCTGACAAATTCGTGCGTAAAAAAATTGTTTTTAATTCTAATCTCGTCGGATTTTATCAAAACTCCTTAAAATGTGCAACTTTTAAAGTAAATTGCTCCATACTTTTAATATGCTTGACCTTTGACATGTGCAAATATATATATTCTTTTGTGTCCAGCTGAATAAACATCTTCAAGTAGGTAGTTTATAAAAAGAAAAATGTACTGTCACCACTGAGGTTTTGACACAAAGATCCTATGACAAAGAATAAAGCATATTTACGATGTTCTCAAAGTCAGTAGACTTAATTGAATTTTATTTTTTACAATTAATCCATGTTCTAAGAGAGTTTAATCATATAATTTTGTTAAACAAAATTAAGCACAGGCCTACTGTATGCTGCGACTTTGTATAGGAGCAATGCACTACGCAATAATGTAAGTGATATAAATTGTTTGCCAAATTTCCTTTACAAATTACACAAGATTTATGAACACTATCACACATGATGCAAGGTCTGTCTCTTATACACATCTTCGGCTATGCATGTAGCGATTTTGTGGAACAAGCTATGCATCGGGGTTCGGTTGTTGGCATCCTTTTGTCGACACTTTGGTTTGTTACGACCAAATTTGTTTTGAGGCGATGGACTTAAAATTTCTTCCTGAACTAAACACTGGATCGCGACCCATGGTTGCGGTACAGAGGTTTAGAGAATATACCGGGTAGTTGTCTTGAGTTTTTCCCTGAGCAATGGGACTTGGCGTACGTACGCTTTAACCTCAAGAAAAAGGCGCATTATAAATGGCTGTACCAGTATCTGTACCCAGTATCATACAAGTAAAAATAAAACTGAGTTAATGTCCGCCAAATATTACAGCATAGGCAAGAAAAATACAAAATGAACAGGTGTCCTATCCCCGAAAACAATGTAATATTTGAGATTTTGTCATAGTTATCATCAGCACACGTTGTATAGCCACAGCTGATTATGCGTTTCATACAACTGTTGCGTGTCACCCGGTTTACATTGTGTCACGATCATTAACAACATATGGTGTGGGTTGATATTGATTTTCACTTATGCATTAGCCTTTACCTGCATTGCATAATTGCATTAATTCTCAGTTTAGACAGTAAAGAAGTAACACACGTAATGATTATTGTGATAATTGAACCAAAGCTTAAAGCCAATTTAGCTCTAGCGGAAGGGGAATTAATAGGCCTAGTGTACAACTGATTTTTTTAAGACACTGAAGGAGCATCTGAAGAAAAAGTCGGAAACGGTTAATAGCATATTCTTTTTGAATACTGTACTTAAAAGTGGGGGACCCTCACTCTGAAGGCCAAAACTAGGCAAGCGAAAGTTTTTTTATTTTATTTTTTATTTTTTGGTTTTTCTGTCTTTTCTGCGGCCTACTTATGATTTGATTTATGACAATAAAAAGTAACATACTGTACTTATTAAAAGTAGAGCCTATAGTACTACCAGTGTAGGGAGTTCGTCGACAACGTTTGAGAGTTGGGTAAATTAAAAATAATAATAAATAATATTTGCAAATTAAGTTACGTAACTGTGGTTGGAAATGATAAAATTGGTTAAAGGTCGTATACTCATGTCAAAATATTATTAAATAATAGCATTTTAAACATTTAATAACATTTAAAAAATATTTTGTAACTGTCCTTTTATTGTAGTTTGAATAAGGAACTAGGAACCATTCACAGACATAAATTGGAATTGGTCTCAGGTCCGATTCAATGTCAAGCAGGCTTGATGGGTCATTCTCTGACCTACATTTCAGAAATCGTTCCTTCACCTTTCATTTTGAGTATTCTGTTGTCTACGACATTGGAACCAGCCATAACAGGGGTCTATTTAAAAAAAATAAAATCATTGTTGTCACATGCACTTTTTGAGTTGGTAAAGCCAAAAAGCAAAAATAAAGTGAGATTAATTTGGTTTTTTTTAAGGTAAAATTATTCTGTAAAGACGGGATGTGGAATTGGTTTTTTAACAATCAATGAGACCCGTTACAGGAGGAAAACAAAACAAAACAAAACACAGTGGCGTATCTAGGGGATACAAAAATTACTCGACCACCCCCCAGTCCACCCCCAAAAAGTCAATCAAGTAGTTAAAAATCACCTTATTTTTGCGAATTAGCACCCTTCAACTGATGATTGAGCCCACCCCCCACCCATCACCTTTGCGCCCGCCATCAGCACCTCCATTTAAAGACTTCTAGATACATCACTGAAGAAACACAATCTTTAGATTTGCACAGCGACGTGAACAGGTTCATTCATCAGTGACTCTCCTGTATTATCTGCACATAATAGTTTCGGGGCCAAACCTAGAATTCACATCATGACAACAAAAACTCAACGCTGTCTCGTGCAAAAGTTACTCTTTGTCATTCGAAAGCTCCATACTTTTAATATGCTTGACCTTTGACATGTGCAAATATATATATTCTTTTGTGTCCAGCTGAATAAACATCTTCAAGTAGGTAGTTTATAAAAAGAAAAATGTACTGTCACCACTGAGGTTTTGACACAAAGATCCTATGACAAAGAATAAAGCATATTTACGATGTTCTCAAAGTCAGTAGACTTAATTGAATTTTATTTTTTACAATTAATCCATGTTCTAAGAGAGTTTAATCATATAATTTTGTTAAACAAAATTAAGCACAGGCCTACTGTATGCTGCGACTTTGTATAGGAGCAATGCACTACGCAATAATGTAAGTGATATAAATTGTTTGCCAAATTTCCTTTACAAATTACACAAGATTTATGAACACTATCACACATGATGCAAGGTTTATCAATATTCACAAGTTTTATAGAATTCAATTATAGAATTACAAGTTTTATAGAATTCAATTATAGAATTACAGTACATAAAGTAACATAGCTCCCTCAAAATCTTACTGTACAATTTATTTTTGTTTGGCATCTATCCATAACATTTGGCCCCTTAACCACATGTACTTTTTAAGTGTGTAAAGTGGAGGTTGTGACAGCGAATATATTCCAACCAGTGGTCACATCCTTCTTTTTAATTTTCCAAATCCTGGATTCACGCCTGATGATGAGCTCATATAGTGGGAAAAAATTGTAAAGATGCATTTTTTTTTTAGATACATGTTTCCCTCTAATTAAAGACCCCTCCAAATAAAGACCACCTCCAACTAAAGACCACTTTTCTGAGGTCCCAAATTAACATGTCTTTTATTTTTATTATTCTAATTAGAGACCAAAGTTGCTAAAGACCATGGAAATCCCAGTCCCAAAAGTGGTCATTAATTGGAGAGAGACTTGTATCTACCTCTGATAGATGGCCTTTTAATGTATTGTACAGAGAAGAACAAGTGATGTGGGTGGGGGAGCTGATGACAGGGAAATGAAATCATCATATAATGTTGTTAAACAAAAATTAAGCACAGGCCTTCTGCCCAATGGTGAGTTCCAGGATCTTCAAGAACCAGGAGACCACATCCTCACATTACAACTTCACTTTTTTATTTTCTTTTGTAAAATTTAAAGGAAAACAAATGTACAGTATAAAACAATCTTTCTGAATGGTTGTGTGTATGTCAACCATTTCTGTGGTCAATGACAGCCAAGTGTCTTCAACATGATGGTGGCTATTTAAACAAGTAACACGCTACACTAATGAAATAATCTAATTAAATTGGTATCTAATCGGTATCAAAAACTGAAAGCAGATTGCATAATCAAAGCCCAGAGATAACACTTTGTAAAAAAAAAAAACAATAAAAAATGATAAACTTAAATCCTGTATTTACAGGCACCATTACAAATAAAAACAGATAAAACAAATATTTGAATTTTGCTTGTTAGCATTTCCAACAATGGCAGAGTATTCAAGTATTAATAAATATTTGCATCAAAAAATAGTGAACTAAATTGTTTAAAAATCTGTTTTAAAAATGAATTTAAATAAAAACATTCAATTAAACATTTAATTTCCAGTCACCTCATTTTTTCCCAAATTGCTATAACATTTTTTTCACCAGCAAATAACTTCTTGATATTTAATAATCATTCACTCACCACAAGCACTGCTCTCTTTGAATTTTCAACCATTCTGCCAATGATGCAATTACTCACTCTAAAAAAAAAACAACTTTAACCCCTTCCAAGATCACCCAGAAATGACTGGAGAAAAATCTTGATATTTACTAAACCTTCACTGGTCTTAAGCATTGCTCTCTTTGCATTGTTAACCAATCTGCCATTGATCTCTCAAAAACACTAACCACTTCCAAGATAATGTGGAAATAACTCGAGAAAAATCTTGATACTTAATAACCCCTTAATGATCTTAAGCATTACTCTTTTTGAATTGTTAACCAATCTGCCATTGATGCAATTGATCTCTCTAAAAAAAACCACTTCCAAGATGATCATTGATAAAAATCCTCCCTCATGGCATCATCCTCTTCTTCTCTCTTCTTTCCATCTTGTAACACTTTCAGCAGATTCTCCAGGTCAGAATTATATAGCATCGACATATTCTCATCTATGTTCATGGTAGTCTTGTCATGATGATCTGATGCATCTGATGCTTTGCAGACATCTTCAGATGCCGATGGCTGTGAAGTATTTGTGTCAATAATTTCTGTTAAGCTTGTAGGGAACTGGAAGTTCACATTGGAATCTGAAAGTAAAGAAATACAAAACAATAAAAAAAATCTCTGCTTCGACCACATATTATACTTTTAATATTAATCACTCAGAAGCAATGTGGCCGTCCTGAGGTCAAACAACGTACCCTACATTTTGGTTGATTTTGAGATATCATTTGGGGGTATATTAAACACTTTTGAATTAGGTATGAAAATTTCAAGTCTCAACAGTGAGTGGTTTCGGAGATAGCACCACCTATCTTTAAGTACAAAACTTAAAATCTAGTGGTAAAACAACGTAACTGCCAGATTATGAGTCAAAACAACGTATCTATGATGAAGTATCTATGATGAAGATACGTTGTTCTGCCCTGGAATGGAATTAGACAATTATTTTGAGCTGATTAGAGTTTAGCAAAGCAAAATCAATTTGTTGATGGTGTTTTAATATCAATAAACTTAATGATGTTTGCACAATATATTGCACTTGTGACAATACCGTGCTTGACATGTTTCAAAGGTAAAACAACGTATCTGTAAATGTCATTTTTATTATTTAGATTAAGTCACTGTAATAAGCTAAGAACTTAATATGAAATAGACTTAATTACTTAATCAACAAACAGTATTATTTCATTGTATTTCAATTCCTGTGGATTCTCTGTGTTTGTTTAATTTTTTCATTGTGTTTCTGTCATTTAAATAAACCAAGAGTCTGTATGTTTTGTTGAAAACAACAAGGTACAACGTTTCAGGTGCATTTCCTCCATCTGTTTGTGTTTGATAGTAATCTTTATTATAATGATTAAAAAAATGAATAAATGAACCTACCTTTTCTGGAATAGAAGAGTATATAAATACTAGCAGCATCATTTTGAGTTGGAGTTTGTTCTACGACCGTTTCGTCATTACAGTGGTACCAATCCTTGGTCAGGGGGTTCTTAACATACGATATATAATGGCCTGCATTAACACCTTTAATAACAACCAAAACATTTGTTAACTAATTAAGTTACTTAAATCCAATCCAATCAGAACATTTGTAAAGCGCCTTTCTTTGCAGATACAAAGCGCTGCACCCCACATACTTAGGCACCTCACAAACCACAGGCAGCCGTGATCATTGCCTAACCCAAGCACAGAACAAGTAAACAAAGCAAAAGATGCAGTGGCAAAGTCTGGAATCATAAATAAATAATGCAACAACAAATAAAATAAGAATAAAAATTAAGTTACTTAAATATAGAAAGCATTTAAAAAATCAATAAATAAAATAAACAATAAATAAAATAAGAATAAAAATTAAGTTAAGAATTTAGAAAGCATTTCAAATCATTACAGTATTTTTCTTAGCTCAACACTGAAGCATTTCAAATCATTACAGTATTTTTCTTAGCTCGACACTGAAGATGTCAGCAATGAAGGACCACCTCCAATTAAAGACTACTATTCTGTGGTCCCAAATTAACAAATTTCTTTAATTTTCATTATTATTCTAATGAGAGACCACAGAGCTGCTAAAGACCATAGAAACCCTGGTCCCAAAAGTGGTCTTTAATTGGAGGGAAACCTGTAATTTAGTAAGTAATTTACATGGACACTATACATTTGTAACGGGCATATTTCCTTTTGTAAAGGTCAACCAAAAAATGGACAGATGAAATAAACAAACAAAATATAAAATTTAAATACACAAGATCAAACATATAAAGCTAAAACTGTCTGGCATACATTGTGTTAACTTAAGAACTGTACAAATAAAAGTACTAATAAAGGTCTCCCTCTAATAAGACCTCTCCAATTAAAGACCACCTCCAAATAAAAACAACATTTCTGCAAGCCACAAATGAATTTCTATCTTTAAATTTCTTAATAAAGACAACAGCAGCTAACAACTATGAAAACCCTGGTGATATTGTTAACACAACAAGCAATACATTTACATACCCCCAAAGTGACATACACATGCTTGGAGGTCATACAGCAACTGAGTCTTCTCTGCACTGATGGCAGGGCATAAGTACGGACTCACATCCAGGCCCTCCAGAGGAAACAGCACCTTGTTATCCAGTTTGGTGCTCATGAAATTGTGGAAGACGAATCTGAAAAGGTTAAAAAAACTTATGGTTAGCCATGTTATTCTAAATGTACAGAAATATACATTTTATCTCAAATCAGATGTACTGGTCCATGCAGCCCCTGTTGACTTGTGATGGGATTGCCACTTTGAAAAGTGATTTAGTTTTGCATATCCTTGGCCCTAGTGCCTAAAGCTGAATACAAAAAAAAATGTACCCTGATACTGGAAGTCGGGCACTTCAACTACTAATTTTATGCTATTAAAAGTATCTCTCACCTTTTGAGGTAGACAATAAGAACGTCTGGATAACGACATATCGACAGTGTCTTACTTGCACACTGTGGTTTCCGGCAACAAGGGCAAAACCATGGATTGTGCTCATCTAGGTATTCACTGTTAGAAACGTAAACACAAACATTGAAACTAAATATTAGGGAAAATAATAGATGCCAAAACAATGAATATTAATAATAAAAACATAAATACAAAAACTATGACAGAAAAGTGTTATTTGAATTGCTAAATATAAACTAAAATCAATTTGAAATTTGTTAAGAATTTAGTTTAAAACTAGTCACAATAATACAATCTATGTGAAAATAGTATGTTTTGTTTTCAAAGTATTGTAGACATAATATTTAGAGTTGAAAAAAGAGTATTCTGACAGCTCAACCAATAACTTTGTTTAATTTAATTTAATTGCAGCCAGTTTGATAGCCAACTTCTGTTTGTAACCTACTCCACAGCATTTTATTTGTTTTAGCTTATATAACAATAGTGTTTGCACTGTATCCTATTACACACTACTGACTTCCAATCTATAAAAAGATGGAAGAAGGTTAATTACTGTGGGAGTATTAACATGCTGTATGAAACTTTGAAGTAGCAGTCCACTAATTTTTCACTTATATTTTGGTGAGCTAGAATTAATCCTATTATGCCTGTTAAAAATATGAACATCCTGCATTAGACGAGACTTTTACAGTATATACCTTGTTTAGTGAACCCGCTGCCGCCAATAATGATGATTTTGAATGAAAATCAAATTTTATTGTTTGTTTTAATTTCGACTCTTATGACATACCATACGATAGACCCCAGAAATAAAACAAAACATAAAAGTTAACAGTTTTCTAAAACACAGTGATTTTGAATGTGTGGTTTAATACATATAAAAGCAACTTGTGATTAGTTTGAATTCATTAAAAAGATAGCTTACATTTACTGTAATATCTGGTCTACTACACTTATTACCCAGCCAGCCTATGTGGTAGGCCTAGGCCTACAGTAGCTAGTTTACAGCTGAAGGGAAGGCTAGCATCGCAAAAGAAAGAACTGTATGTGAACTTTGTTATCATCTATCTAGCTTTCACCATATCAATGTCAATAAGGTTTTTCTTTGACCTCAACACATTTTTGTAATTCTCTAAACAATCTTTTCATAGCTAGGCCTTGGCCAAAATTCATTCATCTAATATATTAGCATTGGACCATCCCTTGCAGGCACTACAAATTTAAAACGGCTGTACATCATTCGCTACCAACTAGACTCATCGCGGACGTAATATTAGCCACAAGGCTTATCATTCCCGGCTGTGATTGGTTGAAATACACAATATGGAATATAGACGCAATTTGCAATCTGACCAATGACAAACATGCTTTCATAAGAAACTCATTCCAATGGTAAGAGATATGATATAAACATATACAATTTCATGTTTTATTCGACAATATTTTCGCAAAAACTCTTCAAACTTTAAATTTTCCTAGCCTTCTCTTCTATACTACTGCAAGATTAGCCTAATCATGTCACAAACCAAGGCCCTGATAGAAAATAAATGATTTCAAAATTCATTCAAAATATAGTATAAGCCCTCTCCCTGAGAGAGTGGACTAAAATAAAAGTTTTTCCTTCTTTTTATTACACATGATGCTGCCTTAAAATCTGCAAAAATAAAATATGTATATTTCTTCCTAATTATATAAATTTATAGCATTTAACCATCCAAATACTACACTGTTTACATTTACCAATAGAATTTTATTTTTATTTTCTCCTCCATCTGGATGTTTTGGGCATTTGCTAAATAAGAACAAAATTTTATCTTTATTTCTTTTCTGCTCTCCTCTGATGGTCTTTAGTTTGCGAAACAAGGTATAAAAAAGGCCTCGTCTTATCTATCCTGTCATTGGTTCAAAAAGTGAAAAATTGGTATATTTACCTCTTGGAAAATGCCTCAAAACACTGCTTCAATGTGATTTCATCATCATGCTGAAGTTCCTGCAGCATTGGATCTTCATGGCAACTACTGGAGATCTCAATCTGCTCTGGAAGCAGGTTATCAAAGACCACCATCAAGCTGTCACTGGATTGAAGCATGACCACTCCTTCACAGGGAACCTCACACCCTCGGCAGTGTACCTCATAGCTACAGCGGCTACACTGATATCCCTATGAGCAAATAAATCAGATTGATAAAAAAAATTGTGAAGGAGGATTTGTAATTACAGTATGCAGACTAACATAGTTCTGATGAGAAATGCTATGTTAGATTCAAATTCTTTTATTACAAAAACATAACATAAAAATTATACAGAAAACGAAGAACAAGACTAACTGAGCTGGGACACAAAAGTGAACTACAGGTAAATCACTATAACAATAAAGTCAGTGTAGCTGATCAACCCAGTTTTACACAAAAATAAACTTATCATAATATATACAATTATAAAATAAAATTAGAATAGAAATAGATTATAAAATAATGAATCAGATTCATAAATTGAACAAGTAGAATTAAATACAGTATATTAGCATATAAATATATTGAAGAAAAAAAACCAGAGCAAGCATTTCTATGCAGAATAATAGTGAAGTTAGATGACTGAAATTGTATACTATACACATAGTATTTTACTTTGAAAACACATTTAGGCCCACTGTTGTGTTATGCTGTGATGCCCCCTCTGTACAGTGTTAGTATTTTTAAGGCGGTTCTTTCTAGCCAATACAAATTCTTTCTTTTGATTACTCAAAATGAAATTAATTGAAATTAATGCACACTCACAACCAAACAGAAAAATTTGAGGGTTGAGGATGGTTGACATTTAGTTAAGAGAATAAGAAATTTTTGTGGTTGTTTATGAAGACAGAAAAAGCGTCGATAGGTAAGTAGTCTTTAAGAATGTTTGGGAATGAATGCCAGAGTCTTAGAAATTCATGAATAGCAGAAAGAAGACAGTTGGTCCTAGCTTTAAGGTGTTTGAAATGTAGTGTATCTAGATAGTGAGTGTTGACAATTTAGTGTGTTTATGAATTAATGTGAAATTTTAATGAAAGAAGGTAGAAGGTATTTTTCTGAGATATGTGGCCAGTTAGGAATTTAAAAGAAGTTAAGATGAAAAAACTCTGCAAAACAACAGAAACTGCCCCCACATACAAGCGGTCACTTTTTACGATATACCATCACTGACATCACATCATCATCATCACTGGATCATAACTAAGTGACCTGTACTAACCTGTCCATCTGATAAAACGAGTTTAAAGTTCGCATCAACCAGTAACATATCTTGAATGCATCGATAAAGCACTCTCCCTTCAATTTCATTAGGTATGTAGATTGCACGTGGATGGCCAAACAGACAAGCCTACGCACAAATAACAATATTATTTTACTCAACCATTCTGTGAGTTGTAAGAAATTGGTAATCAGTGACTTGCAATGCTAGTGTGATATCTGTCTACACAAACATTAAAATTATTGGTTATTATTATTTGCTTAACATTAAGCTTTTAAAATCAAGATTAGACAGTTACCTCTAGAAAACTAATAGTAGGCATTTACCCTGGTCAAGATCAATGATAGCAGACAAGATAGCGGATAATTGCCCCTTGACTACTACCAGTGGAAAATTACCAAGACAAGTACTAGTGGACAATTAACCCTGGACAAGTACCCATGTGGGCAATCAAACCAGTCAATAGAACTTTCCGGTGTGTCAATCAAACAAGAACTGAACAATCAGAACTGGCCCGGGAATACAAGCGTGCGTATGTTTTAACACAGTTGTTTTGAGGGACCTTAGCCACAATAACCAAGGGGCAGGACCTTAGCAACAATAACCAAGGGGCGGGGCTTAGTGGAAAGGTCTATTCCCCATGTTGAGCTACTGACAGAAAACTACTCAGTGTATCATTATCACAAACATGTACCGTACCGGAGCAGCTTAGCTCAGTCGGCTAATCTGGTGGTAGCCGCTGTGTGTGCGCTGAACTGTGGAATCTCTAGGTCCCTAGAATCTAGAAGTGACACTACCTTTTTTGTTTTGCCTCAGCCCCAACTATGGTTGGTGTATCCCATCTATCGGGGAACGACAGACCACCTGTTGGGTAAATGATGGTATCACCACGCCCACAAGCAAATCATTTGTGCACAATTACACTGAAAAAGGATCACATTGATGATTATCACCATAAAAGTATAACCATCAACCATTTATATATACCTCATGGAAATATAGCCATACACTCTGTGGAAAATTAGCAGCAATTGTTGGGATTATCTCAGAAGTCATATTCCAGGTTTTTCTCCATAGTCCCAAAGTTGTCGTCTAGGAAGTCGTTGTCCAGGAGGATATGGGTGGGTACTTGTCCCAGAGGGTATTTTCGCTTGCCATTGCATTAGAATAATTTTATGAATACCAATTAACCTACCTTCTGTACTGACTCTTCTTCGAAGATTAACTGGAAATGTACTGGTAGAAGTAAGATGCGCTTGTTAACAATCACTCTTTGAGAGCTGTTGACAGCTGGAATATAATCTACAATGGGATCGATTTCTTTGGAACAAACCTTGATGTATAAAAAATAATGATTTTCAAAAGAATATATAACAAAAGTAGCACAGTCTGTATAAGGTATAAAAGAATACAATTAAGATGAATTAAACCAAAAATAATTAATCTCAGATAAGATAGTAAAATACATACTCCAAGTATCAAAATGCATGCACAATACTTGTAGTATGTATTATACTAATTAAACCAAAAATGATACACAAACAATCGGTTTACTGGGTAGCTCAGACACAAAACGATCCTTAGGACGAGTTACTGTACGCGGTAGTCCACACACAGAGCGCTTTGATTTTGAGACTTTGGTATGAAATGCTATAAACAGCGCTGAAAATTCAACTACTATTATACATTATATAAACACCATTCCATCCTGTAATTAGCAAATTATGTGATGAAAAAAAAATACTTACTGGACATTTCATGGCCTCAAACCCACAGTGGGCAGTCACTCTCTAAAAAATAACAAAAAATTGTGAGATCACATCAGGAATTTCAAAAAATATTATAAAATGAACATAGTTTAATATAAAAATAAAAACAACAATAACGATTTGTGGATCTTACGCATAATACAGGATACCATTTAACAGATTATGAACAAGACTCATTTTACAAAAATTAGTTTTCTCATGTGATTCCAATAATCCTCAAATTATTTTTTTATATTTATTGGCGCATAGAGACAGCTGTACTGTATTATGCGCCTTATAGTTCCATTGATTGATTGATTCTTACCTCTCTACATGTATGGCAGAGGATGCCCTTACAAACTACATGCAAGAGCAGCTCATTTTCAGGAAATTCATCAAGACAAATAACGCAAGTCTTCCAGTCAACACTGACCGGTGCTGCAGCAGAAGATGAACATTTGGCACCAGTTGATGTCAGAACAGAGCTGTCAGTTCCTTCTATTTGATTACTGCCATCTCCAAGACTATTAACATTGTCCAGTGTTTCTGGCTTCAGAGCAGGGTTATGTATTACATCAGGAAATGTATTTGTGACATCTCCAATCTTATCTGACAGTTCATTGTTCAGATGATGACCAGAACTGGAAGACTCCCATGTGCTCATGCCAAACTCATCATAGTTCTTGGAGGGGTCGCTGATACTAAATAAAGTCATCTCCTGATCAGAATTTTTTTGATCCCCAGAACCATTTTCACATAACAGATTATTAGAACTTGAAACTTCATCACAACTAATGACATCATCAACCGATCTGATGACATCAGCATCTTGTAAGCTCCCTACATCATTTTGCATTGGTAGTAAATCAACAGTTGTCAATGATAGGTAAACTTTGTCCTCATCTCCTCCTTCGGTAATACCAGAAGCAGACTCAGTAGTAGAGGGGACGTCTACACTGCCATCCATGAGGTAGCGCTGCTCTACTGACTGTCTGGAGTCAGTTTCTATTGCATAGAGAAGTCGGCAAGAATCGTTGATGTAGCAGATTTGGATGGCATCATCCTGAATTGAAGAAAACAATGTTAATTGATGCCTACCTGACTATTAGAAATCTTCATGAGTTGGGAGTTTGGAGGAAATAAAAATAGGATTTCATTCGATTGAGCTGGGCGAATTAGAATGCAATAAAGTTCCCACACCAAAAGAAAACTCTGCTTCGTGGAAGTGAAGGTTGTGAATAGGCAGGAAACATAAGGGCGTTAGTAGTCAGCGGACTCTGCACACCGACAGGCAGCGTAGTGTGTTGTCAAGGGTACTTTATTGTGTTACCGGTTTAGGTAAACAATGGATTGAGCAAGGGATCAGCCTACTAGCAAAGTGGTGTCGACTTATTTGTTGAAGTCTGTGGCCCACCCAAATGGTATACTAGGGAACTTTCAAGTGCACGACGACGGTAGGAAGTAGAACATAATGACGCCACTAAAAGTCATCTGCGCATGCGAGAACATTTAGTTCTTCTCGTCGCATGGATTCTAGGATGTAATTTGGCCAAATCTATGCATGCATAGAATGTAGGATGCCCGGTAGGACGGTCATACATGAGTGATTCCATTCTAGCGTCGCGTCGTGATACAAATCGAAAGCTCCCTATTGGTGTGACGTGTAGGTTATCAAGAAAATCTGTTTTTAAATTTATATTTGGCTCATCAAAAAAAATTATATTTGGATCAATCAACAAATAAAATCAAATCAAATATTACAAAAATTATACAGTAGTTTATTTTTGTCTGTAAGTGAAAAATAACATACCTGACATGTGTATTAAATAAAATTATTGGTTATTATTATTTGCTTAACATTAAGCTATTAAAATCATGATTAGAGAGTTACCTCTAGAAAACTAATAGTAGGCATTTATCCTGGTCAAGATCAATGATAGCAGACAAGATAGCGGATAATTGCCCCTTGACTACTACCAGTGGAAAATTACCAAGACAAGTACTAGTGGACAATTAACCCTGGACAAGTACCCATGTGGGCAATCAAACCAGTCAATAGAACTTTCCGGTGTGTCAATCAAACAACAACTGAACAATCAGAACTGGGCCGGGAATACAAGCGTGCGTATGTTTTAACACAGTCGTTTTGAGGGACCTTAGCCACAATAACCAAGGGGCAGGACCTTAGCAACAATAACCAAGGGGCGGGGCTTAGTGGAAAGGTCTATTCCCCATGTTGAGCTACTGACAGAAAACTACTCAGTGTATCATTATCACAAACATGTACCGTACCGGAGCAGCTTAGCTCAGTCGGCTAATCTGGTGGTAGCCGCTGTGTGTGCGCTGAACCGTGGAATCTCTAGGTCCCTAGAATCTAGAAGTGACACTACCTTTTTTGTTTTGCCTCAGCCCCAACTATGGTTGGTGTATCCCATCTATCGGGGAACGATCAAAAAAAATTATATTTGGATCAATCAACAAATAAAATCAAATCAAATATTACAAAAATTATACAGTAGTTTATTTTTGTCTGTAAGTGAAAAATAACATACCTGACATGTGTATTCAATAAAATGTGCTTTGAGAATTCACAATTTATTTGTGATGGAACAAATAGTAATAAGATGTGTATAAGAGACAGAACCCACAGTGGGCAGTCACTCTCTAAAAAATAACAAAAAATTGTGAGATCACATCAGGAATTTCAAAAAATATTATAAAATGAACATAGTTTAATATAAAAATAAAAACAACAATAACGATTTGTGGATCTTACGCATAATACAGGATACCATTTAACAGATTATGAACAAGACTCATTTTACAAAAATTAGTTTTCTCATGTGATTCCAATAATCCTCAAATTATTTTTTTATATTTATTGGGGCATAAAGACAGCTGTACTGTATTATGCGCCTTATAATTCCATTGATTGATTGATTCTTACCTCTCTACATGTATGGCAGAGGATACCCTTACAAACTACATGCAAGAGCAGCTCATTTTCAGGAAATATACACATCTTAAACAATGGATTGAGCAAGGGATCAGCCTACTAGCAAAGTGGTGTCGACTTATTTGTTGAAGTCTGTGGCCCACCCAAATGGTATACTAGAGAGCTTTCAATTGCACGACAACGGTAGAACGTAATGATGCCACTAAAAGTCATCTGCACATGCGAAAACATTTAGTTCTTCTCGTTGCATGGATTCTAGGATGTAATTTGGCCAAATCTATGCATGCACAGAATGTAGGATGCCCGGTAGGACGGTCATGCATGAGTGATTCCATTCTAGCGTTGCGTCATGATACAAATCGAAAGCTCCCTATTGGTGTGACGTGTAGGTTATCGAGAAAATCTGTTTTTAAATTTATATTTGGCTCATCAAAAAAAATTATATTTGGATCAATCAACAAATAAAATCAAATCAAATATTACAAAAATTATACAGTATTTTATTTTTGTCTGTAAGTGAAAAATAACATACCTGACATGTGTATTCAATAAAATGTGCTTTGAGAATTCACAATTTATTTGTGATGGAACAAATAGTAATATGAGTCTTGCCATTCCAAAACCAGAGCGTTGTCGTTAAATGTTAAACAGAGTAATTAGCATATTGTATACTTTTGAAAACCATAAAAATTTTATCACTCATCACTTTGGCAATAATAAGTAGATTCCAGTATTTTATGATCCACGATTTTAAAGGTATAATGTGGAGTGATTTTTTTTCTTTTTCATTTCATTTCTTTAAGCACCAAGGATATGCCAATAAGTGAATTTAATCACTGTCCTACGTGGCATATCCATTTAACAACAGAGGACTTAATGGACCAGTACACCGGGGTAACCCCCTACTCTTCTCGAAGGATGTACTGGGTTCTTGAAAGTGCACACAAGCCAAATGCGTATACTGGGCCTACGGTTTAAAGTCCTTATTTTAATTATCTATTTATTTATTTGTTCTTTATACTAGGTTTGCTCTTCAGTAACAAATTATCCGAGAAGACTTGTTCCACCACCGTAACCATTGGCGAGTGAGCTGTTCGAACCAGCGTTGATATTAGAGCTGAAGGTTATGGTGAACCTGACTTAACCACTCCGCCAATCAACTCAACAAACAACTAAAATTATATTTATTTACTCCACAATTTTCTTGTTTTGGTCACTGATGTTGGTTTTGGCATGGGAAGCCCCATATAGTGAAAGGCTATAATGAATGATAATATTGTGTGTATAACTCACAAGGAATCGTGAAATATGACTGTCAAGGACCTCTGCTAGAAGGATCTCAGAAGCGTCCATGGAATCTTCCTTAAGGAAAGCAGCACATACAATCTGCCTTAAATTGGACACCAAATCATGTTTGTTCAGAGTCACCAAAAATCGTGTTGGAGGGTACTTCTCCATTGGTATGAATGTAATAACTGAAGAGGAAAGAGAATGGTTAATACATTTTACCAATATCATTTTATTTTTTGTTATTTTTGTTTTTTATACAGACTATAATGTAGGATTGTGATACATGGCGTGAATGAGGCCAACAATCGCAAGCAAAAGCGACCAGATGAGAAAGATGTCAGCATTAAGAAGTGATGAGAAGTGGCCTCATAAAACACTTCATTGCACATTACCAGATTTTTCACAAAAAGGAACTCTACATACACATATATTAACTGTAAAAAATTGAAAACAAAGCAGAAAATGAAAATAGTCATATTTTTCTATGGTAATATTTTTACTATAATTTTCATAACTTTATCACTTACTCTATCATTATTCTTATATAATTTTTATTATCCTTATATTGAAAAAAATTATAAAAATTATATATTTAGATTGAAAAAATTTATAAATTATATATATAATTAACAATTTAACATAATTTCCAGTACTATTTTTATTTATATGTTATAACTTTAGTCTTGCAAATGTTAACATTTTCTTCCCTGTTAAACTCACCTAATTGCTTTTCCATGGCTCTAGGTAACGGCACGGACAGGTACATGAAAGGTTCATAGGTCACTGAAACATGATTGCAGACGTTACATACGACCTGAAATAAAATAAACAATGATGATGGTGACACACTAAATTATTGAAAAAAAAAATAGATTTACAAGGATCAATTCATGGTTCACATAAATAGGGTTGGAGGTGACTTACAATAGGAGGTATGGGGTGCTGGTTTAATTGCAGTTTAATATTGGGGTTATGAAAGAGGTGATGGGTGTTGGGTCATTTATAATGTGCATCAAGTACTGTAGGTTGGCAATGCACTTTTTGATACATGGATCAAACTGTTGTAAGAGTCACAAGAGTCATGATCATTGGCCTGAGAAGACAATGATAATAACTGATAATTACAATGATTACACAAGTCAATGGTGACTATATATGTTGATGATGAAGCAGCTTGGTGGTTCAGATATTTGCTGGTCTTAGGCTCTTGCAAACACCTGTACTTTTTCTAAAAAAAAACCTTCTCTCCCTAATCATATTAAACTGATATTATCACAAGAATTACAGCATTCCATCATGTTATTGTTATTGGCGAGTCAGTCATCATTTCGGAAAACACAATAAGTAATATCAGTATGATACTGAAATTATTGCTCTGTGGTGCAACCTGCCCCAACCCTCTTTCAGGATTTTAGCAGCAGAAAATGAAGGGTTGGTAGTAGACATTTTTAGGCTGGGGTGATATCATTGGTAACCTGATAAGCGGATTTTAAGGATGGGCGAGGGGGTTAACAAAGGGTGGGTAGAGGGCTCTGAAATTAGCTTTAGCCTGAGTAGAAGACTTTAAGGCTAGGTGGCCCAATCCACCTCCTCCCACCATAACTACATCTCTGCTATTTGCACCATGCTTACCGTACTCTTGAACTGTCCTTGGAAAGTCTCTGTTATAACAGATTGATTGTGCTTCAAATACTTGGCCCATTCCCTATTCGCTTCAGCCTCTGCTCCCAATTGAATTGAACTACTACTAGATTCAGACATCACCTCTATGTCCCTGGATTTCTGATTAACATCTGTATCATGCTTCCACATGTTTCTGTTATTTGGGAGGAAAGACTGAGATGCCATGCCATCCCCAGCGGATACCTCCTGTACTTGGCAACTGCCGGTGAATTCCGCCGCATGTACATTGTCCGAGGAAGATGTCACCATATCCACACCCGCTTCATCAACATATTTCCGCTCTAATTTCAACGCTACTTTTTCTATCGGCAGATTTTCATCTGGACAATTTCCCATCACTACATCCACATTGTGTAAACAGTTCACAAGCTTTTCTTTGGATGTGTTCAATTTTGCCTGTTCGTCATCACAGTTTGATTGTTTCGTCATGTCACACTTCACAGCTTCGGAAAACATTAATTTGCTGCAGAGTTTTTCTGAAGTGATTTGATCAAAGTTCTTTTGTGTTGTGTTCATTACGGTATAAACGCTGTACTCGCTGCTTGAGTCCGGTAGATTGTATTTTGCAAAATCTTTCAAAAACTCAGGATTCCCACAGTCATCCATTTTCATCCTTTTGCTCTTCTCCATATCCAAGCAGCTATTTGTATCTAATTGTAACTTACTTCCCTGTGGAATATCATGGCTCAGTGATAATTCCTTATGGCTCTTCATATCCGCAAGTACATTTGTTCTCTTTTCTCTTGTTTTAATCCGGTTATTCCCTTCTTTAACATGTTCAACCTGTGGTTGATATTCAGTCCTTCTCCCACGGCGACCGAGAGATTTAGGAAATTTCTCACTGTCGGTTGTAACTGGAGAAGATTCTTCCTCTGTTAGGACATTTGTATTTAATGTCTTCACATCTTTCATGTAAAATTCCTCTATGCTCGGGACCTTATCAGCATTATCATGCTTCTGAAGTACAGCCTTTGATTGGTCAGTGCTGACAAGATTGTTACTACATGACGATTCCTCTTTGCCCGAGTCTATGTCAAGACCCTCAAGCTCACTCAACTTGGAGGTTGATGCTTCAGATGCATTCTGGGAGTCACACGACTCTTCTGATACATCCTCAACTGGAGAGATCGATTTATGAAGCAGATTTGCCTGGTTCAGTTCTTCATGTAAGGTGTCAAGGAGGAGGGCTAAAAATTCCTGTCCATCATGCTACGAATAAAACAAATATATAAAATAATATAAAAAATAATCAAAACAATAAAGTAAATTTTTTTGTTTTGTTTTTATTATTATAAAGATATTATATTCATTATTGATCAGAGATGGAAAATGGTATTAATATCATTAATATTATCAATGATATATCAGTATGATATGTTACAGTACCTCTTTGTTTTGTAAATAAGAGAAAAACTATTAAAAATTGTAAAAATCAAGAAAAAAAAATGTATGTATATGTAGGTCCATATGGTAATGGTTGTGTATGCATGTGCGTGTATATTTACAATTATGGAATGTGAAAAAGAAAAGTAATATACAGTATATACATGTGCATGTGTATGTACAATTATGGAATGTGAAAAAGAATACATTACTGTATTTTTTAGAAATTAATAAAAATTTTAAAGTGTTTTGAAAAAATTACAGTCAGCTACTGTAGACTGACCCTTTTTAAGTGCAACTGAGTTTTAATTTTTATATTTTATGTCATTGATGACAAAAAAAAAAATCAAAATTTAACAAAAAGAGAAATTTAACAAAAAAAAAACAAAAAAAAACTGTTACCAAATATCATTCTCATTAATATCATTATAATAAATAAAACATAATTGTTCAAATCTCACCCACCTGTCGAAAGCCCCTAAATTGGGAGTGCATATCACTAAGAGCATTCTTGAAAGTCGAAGGTTTTAAAACAGAGAACTCTCCGCTCCAGATCTTTTTCATCAAATCACTGAAATTCTTAGCTAAGGTTGCTTCATGGAACTCGTCATGTTCCAGAATAAATTTGCATAAATGAGAGATGCTCATCAGACACTGAAGGCCGGTGTTCATAAAGCAAGTGTTGCCGATGTTACGAAGTCCACACACACCTTTCTTAGAGTTGGGATCTGGGAAGGAAAGAGAAGTTTAGTTAAAAAGCAGAACAAGTGTTGTTTGTGCAGGTGCTTTACATCAACATTTTGCATTCAAGACACACTAAATACAAGTTACTTTAATTGAGGTAATTACCCAATAAGAAAAAAAAGTAGGTATCATGACGTGTAAGTATATTGAGAATAAACAAAGAGTGGAAAATCTAGATTACAGTAAGTTATAAGAGGGGTTAATGTACAGAGATAAAACTTACGGCATTATGAAATATTTGTCTGAAAGACTAGTGTGGAGCCCAACATTTTATGCAGACCCCCTACAAGCCCTTAACTGGCCCATAAATATTTTTCTTGGAAGGACACCAGGTTGGAAACCACTGCTGTATGGGTTCAGACCCAGAAAGTCACTTGGCACAGGATGTGGTAACCAGCATGTAACATTTTCCCCACTAGCTTTTTGCCTAATAACTGGTTCACAAATCTTCCAATGAAATCCAAACAAATAAAAAACCTTTTAACCGATTTACACACCCTTTTACAAAAATTTGATTACCAGCCAAACAAGTGCTCGTAATCTTGAAAGGTTCAATGAGGGCAGTATAATAGAGGCATTAGAGTATATTGGCCCCAATGGCCACCCATACAAAAAAGGTATATTAATCAATCAAACGAGTGTTACTATAGCTGCTCATCGGAGCTAAAAAAACAGAAACTCTACTATTTATAATGGTGGCAAATGCAATTAAAATTATGAAAAACATTTTTTTTTCACAACCACGACTGAAATAAGAAATTATAATTATTAGCATGCAGTGGTTTCGTGAAAAACAAGGTATAAAAATAAGTTTTTGCCTGGAGGAGAATAATATATTCACAGAAGAAATAATAGTACCTCTTTTATCACAATCGTAAGAGTCATCAACACCTGAAAAACCAGGGTAGTTGGGGCTGGTTGTATGACCTGCAAAAGAGAATTGAAATCATGGAAAATACAGTAAACAAAAATTCAGAAATATAACTCTTTGGTTCAAACTACTGTAAGACTGACAGACAGTTTGATCCAGATGACATGTTACAGATATGATGTATTGAGGCATTTTCCCCCTTCTCTTCTTTATTTAATTTTTTAATTTATTTTTTATTTTAATAGCAAATGCAGCAGTACTGTTCCAATTTTGAAATGCATTAATTGCCATAAATATTCTAAATATTATTATAGATAAAATCTGTCCTTTAATATCTCCATTTCTAATAGGTTTCACTACAAAGTTAGTACAGTAGTACAGTATCACTGAGGTTATTAATGTACAGTACTAATATTCATTTATATAATAAATTTATCTTTGATACTCTTTGTTACTACGTTATATTTTTGACAAAGTTAGTATTACCATGGATGCTATTATTGATTACTATTATAACAATAATTTTTATATAATTTGTCCTTGAACCTATTTTCTAACTAACAGTTTTATGACAATGACAGTATACTGTACTAATACTATGTGAATGGTATTGATTACTATTTTTCATATATTATTTGTCTTTTAAACCTCTTCTCCATTCCTTTAACAATTTTATGAGAAAATTGGTATTATCACAGAGGGTGTTATTGATTATTATTAAAATTTGTCATTGAAACCTCTTCTCCACAAATTTAAGACAAAAGTTATCATGGATGCAAGAGGCTCTCAATAATGAAGAGAAATGCAGCCTATTGTACACACTGTTGGTTGTGTTACACTCCACTGATACAGTAGATATTGAACCTTGTGACATGGTGGTGTAATGTTGAGAATGACACAACACTCCAGGCTATTTATATGCGAATAAAATACTGAAAAGTAGTGGCACCAGCATAGATTTTAGAGGTATAAACTTCCCTTTTGTCAGACAAGCTTGGACCCCCTTGCCATCCAACGCCACTTACTCTACTTGAGATCACTGGACTTAAAATATTAATCTGCCAATCCAATAAAAGTAAATTGTGATTGCAGTTCCAAATATTGTGGTCTAAAATAACAATTTTTAGATTATAAATATGGGCATCTGATAGGGAAGTGTTGATTTGGAAAAACAAAAATTTTTTTGGCAGATTAATTTCTGTACAACAAAGAAATAATCCAGGTTTCATTTGTGTTTGTGTCCTTTACAGACCTTTTTGTACACATGTGATGACGACAAGTAGAAGAGATTTTTAAAGTTGGAAAATGATTTTTAAAGAATGATACTTAAAAGTTTAAATATATACAAATTAACCATACTCAACTCTATTTTTCAATATGTTCATTGTTCAGTTTTAAATGGCAGTTTTGCTGGTTTGTTTGATTACCTGATGAGATATTTTTAATTATTTTTCTTTTGTGAATCTGATATTAAATTTCCTTTAATATATTTTAAATAATATAGATAGACTTATTTCTTACCTGCATCAAAGTTTTGAGGAAACTGAGGTTGATCATATGTCATTTCAGCTGAGAATGGCGGAAGAAGAAAGTCGGTTCCATCTTCTGAATCTCTGGGGTTAGATGCAGCAGCAGCAACATCAGTTGATGAAGACAGCGGGTCCTCTGCTGGTGTTGCAGTCGAAGAGACTTCAGTAGTAGTACTGTCAAGTGGTGTATCACTCTTTTCCATTTTTACACACTGAATGAATTATTCTAAAGAAATACAAACACAATGAAAACAGAGATACAATACATTTGCCATGTAAAAAAAAAATAATTGGTTAGCATCCCCTCCCTACCATCAGAGAGGACACCGACCAGATTTTTTTTTTTTTTTAGACAAAACACTCACAAACATTTAATGTTATAGGTTTGTTTACTACCCATTCGCAAGCTAGCCAAACCACTTGCCGTTCTATGCTCTACTGTTGTTCTATTATACTGTAGCCACATGGCATCCATGATGTGTTGGAGTGAATTGTACGTGATTATATTACGGTAATTGCATTATGACTGCTATTCATAGGTAAAGTTTCTGCTTGCTATAGATGAATTACATAATTTCTTGTATGCCATTTTGGATCTCTATTGTTTTCGTCTTTGTTTTGCTGTTTTTCCTTGCAACACTCTTTTTTCAAATTTCATGTTCGATGCGAGGGAAAAAAAACCTCCCTCCATACCATGAAAATTGATAACATAAGGATGTTTAAATTTTACATGGCCTTACAACCAATTGTATGAAAACGTTTTACTTTAATATTACATTTATTAGGCCTAGGCCTATATCATTAAAAAATATTTTATTTTTCGACTTAGGCCTAGGCCTAGTCCTAGATAAATATTCATGCGTGAATTTATCATCTACATATTGTCTGTCAGTTAATTTAAACTTTAAAATTAAACTACAGAAGAGGCTTATTAACATTCTCTTAGCGCCGGTTGGAAAATTTAAAAAAACGGCAGCGGAGTGAAGGCAAATCCCTCCCCGGCCCACTCTGTTGATGCGGTGGTGGTGATGGATGAAGGCCTACTCTCTCAGTCTCACTTCACTCTCTCTCCAGCAATAAACACTGAACATTACTTTGTTCAATGAATGAAAAGAGTTAATAATAAATAGTTATTCAACAAAACTGATAATCATACCTTGATTTCTAGTTGATGAGTTTAGCACCAAACGAGAAATGTTTTTAAAGTGCCCATATAAACCGTAAACAAATTATGTGACTACTACAATGTTGGGATCTGTTTATTTTGAGGTTTTTTACTGTTTCTCTCGTTTTTCCTCTTTCGCTCTCGCGCACTAAACTCTGGACCATGAAGTAAAATTCATGTAAAACATGGATTTTGAGCCTCAAAATATACACAATGTGTACTAGAGCGCATGAGTTTTGCTACCACTGCCAATCAAATCTCCGTAACTTACAAGCAGTCTAATTTTCCGGGAAACTCCTGCATTATCGTACTCGCCTCTTTCAGGAAAACGTAAACCACTCGCAAAAACAATTTGTAAATTAATATTAAATTGATCAAAAACCAAGTTATACCATTTCTTTTATGATTACGTCTAATAATTTCATATCATATATACATTTTAATGTACGTTTTCGTCGTAATTTTAAAGTGTAATATATAAATTGATGGTACAGCGCTCAGGCAGCCTGGCTAAGCACGGTAGTCTTTTTACTCATGGTCAAAGGTAAACCGCGAAACCATGGCCGATCAGCAACCACAATTTAATCAACTTTTGGGGACACTTATGTCCTCAGACAATGATATCAGAACAACATCAGAGGTAATGTTGGTATACTTGTTAATTTTATCCCAGTTAATTTACGTAAACCTTGGTGAAATCGATTATGTTTAGCATATGGCTCGGCCTACCTTTCTTCAGCCTAAAAACATGCATGCGCGTTTGTCAATACCACTGCTGCTATGTGAAACGATGACACATGCGGGCGGCCGTGAAGTTGCTGCTGATTTTAACGCCTTCATTATTGTCATTCATTGTATTAACTTCAAAGTTATCTCTTATTTTTACTAGAAAACATACGACGCCATACCAGCCAACAAGAAGATTCCATACCTTGTCACCTCTCTACAGACACAAGCTTTGGCACCAGAGGTATAAATAGATAGAAAAGTCTGATTGCCTTCAATTCATTCTTTAATTAGGCCTAGGATAGGCCTATCATCAATGACATTAATTTGATTTTTCAGTGTTTTTTTTTGACGATTTATTTATTTTTAAATATTTTTATTACGATATAATGGAATTTGAAAAATGATTTTGATATTTTGTAAGGACTAGGCCCTCCCTAGGCCAATACTGTATATATGAAAATAAAAAATATAGCACCATTTCATTAAAATTAAAAGGACTGATATAACTATGTTCTATGCAATAGCAAACCACCATACTAAATCTAATTCAGGATTTTCTTTTAGCTGTTGAAGTATCTGTTGAAACATTTAGTTTGGATTTTATAAGCCCATATTTAACTGATTGATAAGCACATTTTTTTTGTAAATTGATCCTACAGTATACATTACAGTACAACAAATATATATTTATTAACAATGTAATATGCAGGACCAAGTAATTGATCTTGGTTTTAAATAAAAAATACTTATCCTTTTATCATTGATTATTTTCTAAAGATTAAAACTTGTAAAAATTTTCATTTGAATTTGGTCAGCTTCGACAATTTGCTGCTGTACTGCTTCGTCGATTCCTCAGTGTAAACTTTGAAAATGACTGGCAAACCTTGACCCCCGAACAGCAAGTTGCCATCAAGGCCCAGCTGTTGGCGTCTGTACAACGAGATTCCCAACCTCTCGTTAGAAGGAGAATCTGTGACACGGTTGCAGAATTGTCGAGGAGTCTGATTGGTCAGTATGATAAAAAAAAAAGTAGTATAATACATTAAATTTATTTTTGAGGGGTTCTGTTAGATTTGACTACATTATCTATTTACTGTCATCTTTAATGAGGTTTTCGAACACTGCTTTCCACAGAGGTTCTCAATAAAGTCAGAGCTACAATAGACTAGGCTAATTAATAAAATACAGTACATGTTAGAGGAATAGCTTGGATGAAGTCTATCTATTTAACAAACCAGTTGAATGAAAATAATACTCAACAAAAAATTGTAGTCAACGAAATGAACCAGTCGAATAAGCCCAATGACTTGCGTGATCTATTCAAATGAGCATTTCTATTTTTAATGAATTTTTGAGATTTTGTTCTGGATTTGATCACAAATGGATAATTTTGCCATTCTGCCCCTGATGAATTTTCTCTTATCTTTTTTTAGGTCAGACAAGACTTTTTATACTTTGTTTAGCTAACCCGCTGACTTCCAAAAAGGAAGATTTTGAATAAAATTTAAATTTCATTTTTCGCCAGTTAGTGCACCTGTCACCACTAAAAAATAGAAATTTCATTTTTGTTACGCTTTGATTTCTTCCTAATTACTGTATATAAATTTAAAGCATTATTTGCTAAATAGACAACAAAATTAAATTTTTTTTTTTCTGCCCTCTTCTGACAATCTTTAAAAAAATAAGTTTGTGAAACAAGGTATAAAAAAAGTCTTGTCTTATCTTTAATTGTAGCTTTTGTGGTCCTTCAATCCACAAATATTTTTTTTTTTTAAGTTTCTTGAATTCTTTTAAAAACTTACTTTAATGCAGTGTGTCTGTTTTTGTCTGGGTATTGGATGAATAAGATTATGGTATTATATAAATATCTTTAAAAATATGTAATCACATTTGACCTTATTTTGGTATTCACACAGATGAAGATGGAAATAATACTTGGCCGGAGATTTTGCAATTTCTTTTCGACAACGCATCATCACAAGATCCTGGTAATAGAGAGTGCGCCCTCAATGTATTCAAGTAAGCATAACATAATAATATGTAAATTAATTTTTCGATTTTTGAATTTAAAGCCAGACTCCGGAGGAAAAAGCATTTTTGATACAGGTATGTATCAACTAATTTTTTTTAAGACACAAAACCCATATTTGAGGGTTAATGGTATTTAAAAACCAGGGGGAAAATAGTAGAAAAAAGGGTGGTTATGCCCCTTTCTTAACAGTTTTTAAATATTCAAAAATCTGTATCTCATTAACCGCTTCCGGTTTTATTATTACTGCTTTTTAGCTTTACGTTAATGGAGGCCTGTTAAACTCGCCCAACTTATTATTTGCTATGTAACCAGCTATGTCACCAGACAATGACACCAAGTATTGTTGCTCAAGCGTTTGTTTGTTTGTTTTTTTTTAAATTTGATTGATTTGACTAGAAAGCCAGGACATCGATAGTGACAATTATTTAGAATTCTCTTTCCAAGCTAATTGTTTAAATTTCTGGTATTTGTTTGCATTGTTGCTTATTTTAGGCCATGGCCTTCTTTTTGTTATATGTCATTGTTGCGTTTATTATTATTGTAACGGGACCCCTTCGGAAACAAGCAGAAATGCTTAAAGGGTTATCCTGAAATTCTCTTATTGTTGTTTAATTCGTTTAATTTCGTACTCTGTTTAGTTGTGAGAATTTCGAAATAAATCAATTCAATTCAATTCAACCTTGCATTTTCATTGGCTATCATAGATCTGTATCATGTCATATGAAATAGATTTGGAACCATTTAAATAAATTAGGGTCATACATAATACAAATATTATATATTATAATATAAGTCTGATAAAAATGTATATATTTTTTAATGATTTAAATTTTATGCCATGTTTCTTTACAATAGTTTTCCTGTAATATTTGGTAATAAACAAAATCCAATACTAATCTTTATTTTTCTGATTTTGATTTTTGTGCCCTTTACAGTAATTTTCCTGGAATATTTGGTAATAAACAAAATCATTACATTGAAGTTATTAAACAAATGCTGGAACAGAGCCTAATGGATTCATCTTCATCTGAAGTAAGTACTGTCAAATTTTTTTTTATTACCAAACAATTTTTTAAAGATATAGAGATCCAGTGAATTTTTTATTAAATAGTGATTAATTTATATTTTTTAAAATTATTTTTTAGGTACAAATTATGGCAGCAAGGGCTACAATTTCATTTCTTCTTTATCAAGGAAAAGATATAGCAACACAGAAGCATTTTCTACATTTAACACCAGGATTACTTAAGGTCAGTAAAGCCACACATTAACTATCAGATTACATCTGGCAGGCTCACCGCAGACAGTAAATGTCAATTATTGAGAATTGTAAATAAGGCTGGAAGAGTGATTGGAGCCGACATTAAGTCCTTGGAAGATATTTTTAATGATTTTTGACTTAAGAAATTTAATTCAATTATGCAAGATTCATCCCATCCATTATTTTCAGACATTATCATAAATAGATCGGAAAGGGTTAGACATAAACAAAACAAAAGATCCACAAACCGTTTTAAAAATTCAGCATTGTACATCGCTTGTAATCTATTTAATCAAAATTTCAGAAGATAACTGCACAGGACTTAAATTTTTATTTTCTAAGAAATCTTTATTTAACACTCTATATGTTTATGAACGATTCTATGTCATGTACAACAAATATCTCAGAATGTGGTTGTGGAGTGGTGGTTAAGGTGCTTGCCTTCTGATCCCAATGTCCTGGGTTCAAATCCAGTGACACTATTATTTTTTCTCATGACTAAAAACAACTCCACTTCCTTATAAACAGACTTAAGGTGCGTTCACACCAAAATCTGAATTTTTACTTTAGAAAGCTGATCTGAAAATCAATATTTAGTAACTTGTAAAACTGTTACAACATAGATTAAATTTTTAAACAAATTGTATATTTTTGCCCAACTTTAACTATAATAAAAACTGTTTGTTCTTCACGTATTTAGTTTTTGCACTTTGTGCTATAAGTATAACATTACATATTTGATTCAATTCTTAGGCTGTTGAGTTGTGCGTAAGTCAGCAAGATGATGATGCTTTACTAAAGGCATTTATTGAACTTGTTGAGACCGCTCCAAAGATGGTCCGCTCGCATCTTCAAGAAGTTCTCACAATGTTTATTTACGTAAGGTTTTATTCTTACTTTATTAATAATTTCTCTATTGTTCAGTAATTGAAGATAAAATATAATATTATTTTTGGGGGATTTATACAGTGCTTTTCGCAATCCAAATAAAGTGTTGACACTTATTCTTAGTCGATTAATTCATAAAATGGCAAACCAGCTCAACCTTTGGAATAAACCTACGCAAGCTCATTTAACCAGATCTCCCCAAAGTGACTTCTTCCTACTTGGGACCCTGCTACAGTACGCATAGACCAATACGTTCAGTCGTACAAGATATCCATTTTGTGTTTCTTGTTGAAGAAAGTAAACAACTGACTTAGTATAGTATCTTTCAACCGTTTCTTTTTCAGATTACATCAAATAAAGCTTTAACTGACAGCTGGCGCCAATTGGGCTTGGAGGTCATCGTAACGTTATCTGAAACAGCCCCAGCCATGATGAGGAAACATCAAAATTTTATACCAACGATAGGTAATTATGTTCACTGAACATTGTTATGTATCCTCTATATATATATATA